GGGGTTATGTTCCAGGGTAGTAACAATCTCAGCCATTATGCCAATCGCTGTATGCGGTGTTGGCACTGAGCTATGGCCACCGACGACACTGACGTTGAACCATACGTCGAGATAACCTTTTTCGTAAACAGCAGGAAGCGCGTATAAAACGTCACCCATCTTCTGCAGCCCAGCACCGCCTTCGTCAAGAATAGCAGCAATGCCATGCTCCCCATATCTCTTCTCCAGATGTTTTGAGATATGGCCTGCTCCACGATGACCAGAGCATTCCTCATCAAATCCAAAAGCCAGAATGACCGTGCGACGCGGTTTGTAAGTCTTCTGAGACAAAAGTGCTTCTAGGGCAGACATCTGAGCTGTGATGGCTGATTTGTCGTCTGAAGCGCCGCGGCCCCAGAGATAGCCGTCTGTTTCGTTGTAGAAGGCGTCAAAGGGGGGGCGGACCCATTCGTGGAGTGTTCCGGCGGCTACGGGGACGACGTCTTGATGCCCTGCTAGAAGAATTGGCTGGAGGGATGGGTCGGAGCCTTGAAGGGTGTAGACGAGGCCGAATTTGTTGACTTTTTCGGGGGTGATGTGTTTGTGTCTGAATCTTGTTAAGATCATTATTCAGAGTGTAATTGAATTTACTTACACGGTCGGATATGCTTTCTTTAGCATTTTTGGTATGTCGTTGAATGGCTTCCATCTATCATCTGTATCCAAATCTCCCATGTCATCATAGCAGATTGAAGGGATACGGACGAGGGATTGATGCTTCTTGATCATCAACTGAAGCGCTTTCTTGCTGGAGAATAAATCATGCGAACTTTCAAGCCCGTCGTCGGAGGGGTTCAACGGGGCCGGAAGATGGCATTTCGGATTAGTGTCTGCAGTGCCAGCAACGTTGATCTTGTCATTAAGACGATGCTGCGCATCGTGAGAAAATGCAATAGTACGAGCCACGAAAATCGTGGAGACAATATCAGTGAATCTCATCTTGATGTCTTTGGACTGAGCTTGACAATCAGATCATGAGAAACACTAAACATGGCGTCAGAGCATCCTTATACTTTATCTACACGAAAGAGTTTCTTGGCACTTCACCATCACTATTCCCAACACAGGCACCGAGAAGCGAGTTTCGTCAGCTCACCTCGAGAGCTGAAGAAGTCTTTCGCATCCGGCATTTTAAGGTTCAGACCCCGCAACCAGCCTGCAACAATCGCGTGATGAACGAGTCTGGAATGATGACGAGAGTTAAAAAACTTCTTTCGGGTTAGACGGCCGAATGTCTCGGCCGTTTCTTGGCGATGGAAGATACCGATGACCGAGACATTGAAAAGAATGTGAATGATTAATAAAATACATTTTTTGAATTACATATGAAAACAATTTGGTCTGTAATCTATACACTGATTCTGTTGCGCGTTGCGCCTAATCCTTCTTCTCCTGATCCCCTGGCTCTTCATTCCTCTTCACCTGTTGAATGAGCGTAACACCTGCTAACTCACTAGCACCGTCATGGACCTGCTTCGTCCAGAATGGATCTCTCTCCATCACCAAAACTGACTTGCGTCGCTCGCGATGCGCTTCACGTACAGCTAGTCCAGACTGCTGTTTCTTCGTCTCCAGCTCTTCAAGATACTTGACACGGTTTGCATAGCGCTGGTTGTAATCTTCTCGAATACGCTCTGAGCCGATTTGTTGAAGAGTGAAGCGGACGAGGGAGCGAAGGAGGAGAAGAACGTGTTCGCTGATAAAGACCGTGACGGGAAGAGTCGCCCAGTTTCCCAATGTATTACCGATCTTATCGGCACTGAAAAGATGGACAATCGCTGCGGTGCAGATACTTCCGAGCCATGTCAGCGCTTCGAGGGAGTAGATCCAAGGGCCGATTCCGTCTGAGCGAACTGGTGCGGGGCGTTGATGCTCCAGTGAGATCTTTGCGAAATCAGATCGTAGCTCGATCCAGTTGTTGATGAGAAAGCCCATTGGGATGATTGGCCAGACTGGAGAGAATAAAGCGAGATATCCGAATTGAAGAACGATTTCTGCAATGTCATCTTGAACGTTGTACTTTGGAAGAATCGCCTCGTTTCGAACACGTGATAAGAAAGCTGTTTCTTCAGGATCATCCTTCACCACCGCAAGAAGCATATCGCCCTTCGATCTCGCCCTTCGATAATCCCTATACCAATCCGAGAACTTATGCTTCAGCATCGGGACGATATTCTCTTCAAAGAAACCAGAGAGTTGACCTGTGACTGTCAAAGCGATTACTTCGTTTCTCAACCTATCAGCATCAAGATGAAACGGCTGATGAACGAATTTCTTGCCGACGCTCGCAAACGCAGCTGATAAGAAATTCTCAAGCTTGGGGACGACGGTCCCACCGAAGGGTATGTAGATAAAAGCCGTAAGGAAGATAGGGAGGTAGTTTGTGAACATGTTGAGGACAAAGACTTTTTGGGTGAGTGACATTTCGTGCAGATCGGCGGTGCGGTGGTTTTCGAATTCAGTCATCCATTCGGCTGCGTCTTCGAGGGCGGAGGTAATGTAGGGGAGAGATACAGCGAGAAGAATTGTTGGAAGATATTCCTGCGCATGTTAGACAAGCTTGTTAGTGAAAACGGGTGACCTACCAAGTAATCCTTATACGGCCCGGCGTATGTCTCAGAGATCAAAATCTCAATAGTAAACACCGCAATGATGGTGATCCCCAGCGCCAGAAACGCCACTATCAAGAACGGAATCTGCAACAGCTGTCTCACCACCTTCTTCCATCTAGGAAAGTAATAATGTTTTCGCCCGCCTTCATCAACATACTCATAGTCATACTTGAACTGCGGTCTATTGACTTTCACATGATGAATACCCTTGACATTCCAGCGCAGACTCAGATCGATCTCCTGAATCTTCCAGTACTCGAGGAAAACAGTGCACCAGACGCTGGTGAGGATGCCGTAGGCGAGGGAATATCGTGGAAGCCAGAGCCATGCGATAACACCTGTTATGGCGGGGAAAGTGAGGAAGAGAAGATAGGCTTGGATGAAAGCAAAGTAAAAAGCGACCTGGAATTGTAAGCACGTCTTCCGTCATGTGAGTGAGAGAGGTGTACCTTTGAGCCATGGAGGTTTCGAATTTGATCAATGTCCTCGTTGGATAAGAAAAACTTTCTGCTCAGATATTTGAGCAAAGACTGATTGACTTTGGAATTATGAATGGGGAATATCGCCTTGACGTTCTCCCATTTTCCTGTTCCGGGGGTGATGCCTGCACCACCAAGATCCTTGGACCAATTGACGATATGGTAGACTGAGAGAATGTCCTCTGCTTCGTAAGCTCCATCGACGACTGTGTTTTTATCACCGCCTGGGTGATTTGGCGTGATGCCGTATAGCCAGTCCTTAACCCTGCTGTCTCTGTTAATAAAGTCCTGAGCGGTGCATGGAGTTTACTTGCCTTGATTTATAAACAGCGTTGCCGAGAAGTTCACGTGGTGCTTTGGCGAATACAAGAAGGGATTGTTCATAACCAGCTCTGACTTCAACGTCGAAACCAGTTTCTTCCAGATCCGCAACTAGGGTCTTGAACTCCTTGATAGCCGTATCATGATCTACCAACATCAGCATCTCATCGCATCTCATAACCATCTCTCAGACTCACCCGTCTCACCAAAATCGTACAAAACGACATACTTGTCGTTGTACGTCGTCTTATCCTCGAACCCCATACTCGGCATCTTCCAGCCTATAAGATCCCTGTGCTTTTCCCGTCTGGTATCGCGGTCTAGTCAGGCAATACCCCTTGCGCGACGGAACATACCAAGAACGACAGACAGAGAATACAACCGCGGAGATCGGTGTAGAGAAGTGAATAATACGAAAGAATGTTTGATGCAAAAAGTGAAAAGACACGTTTGGGGGCTCCAATACACGTCAGCTGGGTCCACTTGGCCAAGAATGTTGAGCCGGATTGGGCGGCTAAGTCGGCACGAGAATCTTGGTGTTTTGGCGGATTGTCCTTGGCGATAAAGTTTTTGTGGTGATTTGCACTGCCTCATTGACGATGGAGTGGTAATCTTAGGGGTCCTAGTTTATTGGTTCTTGCGTATTGAGATCGGATCGACAGGAGCTGTGAGGCTTGATGCTCGGTAATGAAACAATACTTTGATTTTCGTATTTCGATAATTTCGGGTTCTGTGCATCTTAATTATCGTCGTCATCTTACAACTTGGCAGTCATCTGCCAAGAAGGTCGTGGAGGGCTTATCTTATCAGCGATAAGATAGCCAGCCATTGGAGATAGGTAATGGGCAAGACACGACCGATTGCGACTCGAAACCTGAATAGAATATCAAGAATTCTAATGCGCTTGCTGTCTAGATAATAGATCCGACGATGAATTAACTTACATGCTAGTACTACTCTTGAGAGATGTATTTGAGTGTGAGGTTTGTCTCTGACAAGAATACCACTCATGTTCAGTTATGAGAAGTTGAACAGTTTGAAACTATGCTCCAATGAGCGTTTGGTAAAGATATATCTTCCCTAAACCCGGCAGATGGGTAGTCGTTAGCCCTTGTAGATCTCACTGGTGTTCAGGTTGCAAGGTCACGTTAGGCCGCCTTTGTTCCGGCAGATCAATGGCGGGTCTTATCCAATTACTGATTTAAGCTGAGCCATGGAATAAGCAACCAAAGGCGTGTGATGAACTGAATAATTGCGAAACATTGATTCGCGTTCTAAGAGCCCAGATACCTCCATCGCTATGCCTGAAGCCATGGGCCCTGAACCCGAATCCAAATGGACGCGCCTCCAACAAGATCCAATGAAAAGACGGGAGTGACTGAAAATGAATGGGATGGGATGCAAGAACCGATGGCCTAATGCAGAGTCACATCACGAGATGGAATCACAAGTCACAGCAAAGGATATCGATTAATCAGATCATGGTTCTTTGCTCAATATCAAGCGATGGAAATTGCCGAGGTGATATCATGACCGGGCACTTCCATCCAATCCCCCAAAAGTCACACGATGGCACACGAGCAGCTGAACACCAACAAGACAAAGATAAGCATTTCGCGATGTCATCGTGCCGACTTTAGGCATTTCGACGTATCGGGACGAAGCGTTTATATGCTCAAACGTGATGATGGTTGCCAGTCACGGTATGCGATACTAAATTGTACTTATAAGTAACGAGACTCGCAGTTGAATGAGATGTTGTCGCAGCGCCATTTACACTGTGATGATGAGGGGTCTCGAGATTGTCGTCCAGCGTTACCATTTTGACCCCGCGATGGTTCAACATGACGTTGGTCAGCATCATTTCATCGTGAGGTATGGGAGGGATGACGACACGAGAGATGAGAGCTGGAGTTATATGAAGCTGCCCCTCCCAGCACTGCACTGTCTCTTCAGATTCAATTTAAACACCAAGAGACTTACACAAGATTATACGATACAGCAAAACAAAAACATCATGTCGGAGAGAAGAAGGTCTTCTGGCCCAAAGGCCCCTACTGGTCTCAATGATGAGACGGCCGAAGAGGTCCACGATATTATCCACCAGGCCGAGATGGAAGAGCAAAAGGTATGCCGCTGTTCTCAATTGAATGCGTATACTAATAAGCAATAGATGCACGGCAAGGATGCGCTGTGTCAGGATGATGTCGGGCCTAGTGAGGGTGGAGAACAAAAACAGCAGTCGGCCATGGGCAAGGTCAAAGAGGCGCTGAATCTGGGCAAATAAATGTCGTGACGACAGGCCACCGCCCTGACAATGGTAATCCTTTCTTATGTCGGCGTTGATACCAGATTGTTACAATTAATTGATCTTTAATTTAATTCGGCAACGCGGACTAATTGTTCAATTGAATGGGCATGAAACAAAACAGAAGGGTATCTTGACATTATCATCCTCCACCATCATCAGCATCGCATCAATCAGCGCATCACATCCCAAGAGCAAGACACGCCGAAAACAAAACAACAATCGCCAGAGCCATTCCACCCGGCCTCTCCAACCCCATCGCACCATCCTCATCCACTGGCTTCCCATCAGCAGCGCTCACCTTCTCACCACTCGGATACCGAATATTAACAACCGCTTCCCCCTTCAACTCATCCGGCACGCCCATCGTATGCGGACACTTTGCTTGGTTCTCCGCCGGATAGTCCAACTCACACGTCTCGTCGTGTCCAAGAGTGCATATCGAGTCGAGGATGTTGTAAAGAACGTAATTATCGCCAACCCACGTACTCTCATTCCGATCGAGGCACGATGTTAAAAAGTTCATGCTATTCGCTGCGCTAAGCGGTAGTCTGCTCTTTTTTGTATGTATTAAATCGGAGCATTTGGATGCGTCGACGTTGGAATATGTCATCTCGACGGGACCGCCGGCCCTGGGCTTGTCGGTGGCCGAGTAGCCTGTGTAGAGGTAATTCCACGCATCGTAGCTAACGTCGTAGGCGCCTTGCGATTGATCGACGCGGAGGAGATGCACGGTGCGGTCTTCGTATGTGAGCGCGATGCAGATATTGTTACAGTCGACGGAATACGGCCAGTAGGCGATGCGATTCGTGTTGACCTGGCGATTGTTAGCTTGGCTCCATTGACTGAGTAATGTCGCGTACTTTGCACCCGGGGACGCCAATTGACGAGGAGTAGCTGTCATGCGGCGTCGCCCAAACCGTCCCACCGTCTGATTTGCGCGCGAGAGATAGAGATACTAGGGAGTGGACGAGCAGCGAGAGCCGCAGCATTTTGAGGGAGTGACGAGACGCCTGACGTAGGCGGATTAAGAGGAATGAGTGATTGAAGGCATTTTTTGCGACAAGCCACGCGAGAGAGGAGGAAACGGGGAAGTATTAGGGGTCTGGGGCAGAGAATTGGCCCTGATCTTTACTGCTTTGAGATTAAGCATTGATTACGAGCATGGAGTTAGGCCGCTTTTGGGATGATATGGCGAGAGGTGACAGGGGTTGGGATGAGTTGTTTTTCGGCATTTCGGGAGATGAATGATTGAACAGTCGATAAGGCATTCTTGCTTCAGTGATGAGTCGAGAAGCCACGAAGCAGTTGAGGCGAGACCCGGAGAAATTATCCAGCTTGTCATGTGTTATTAAGCTTTATAAACAATGCGACACCAGCTAACGACTTAGCCAAAACAATGACGTTCTCTGGGGGATGCAGTAAAGGCTTCTATCCTAGGTGATAAAAAGACTTAGGTGGGTTTAGCCAGGCCTTTAGGCCAGTTAATTTTGGCACTTTGGCTCAACGTCACAAGTTTCCTTGCTCCCCTGGGTCTCTGGATCAAACCGCCCACGGACCAACCACTCAACCAATCACCTCCACAAAATATTGACAGTTGAAGCCCCGTATCTCGCATCATGATCCCCCTTTCAAGCCACCTCCACAAAAACCCCTCTTGGCAGGGCTGAGCTACAGAAACCGACTAATACGCTTGTTTCTGACTGGGCCGTGACATCAACGCCGCAAAAATGCTGGTTTAGTCTCGGAACATGATCCCTCGTTTAGAGCGTGTTCGTGAAAAAGATGCGATGCCAAGATGGGGGCCATTTCAGATGTCTGCCTATATAAACCTGCAAGCAATTGCCTCAAGTATTGTTCATCTTCAATGCATCGCATTTCACAATGACTCGTCTCTATAATTTCATTGTCTTTCTCCTCCCTTCTGTTCTTGCTGGCTCTGTTCCTAAGACTTGCAAGACATACCCTGGATCCTCAGACTGGCCTTCTCACAAAGCATGGTCTCGTCTCAATGACACTTTAGACGGTAGACTCTTTGCGCCTGTTCCTCCTGGGGCAGTCTGCCATAAGGGCTGGCCGTCTTATGACAAAGATACTTGTCCCAAGGTCGCTGAGGCTTGGAAGCATTATGATCTTCACACGCAGGATCCTGTCTCTCTTATTTATGATCAGTATTCGAACTGGACTTGCCTCCCAGATAAGAGTTATCCATGTAGTGGAAGTGGATATCCTGCTTATGTTGTTAACGTTACGAAGGCGGAGGACATCAAAATTGGGATCGACTTTGGTAAGTGTTTTGCGATTCAACAAGAGATCTTACTGACAAACGATAGCTCGGAAGAACAACATCAGGCTCGTTGTCAAGAACACTGGCCATGACTACATGGGACGCTCCATAGCTCCCGGTTCTCTCTCCCTCTGGACTCACCATCTCAAAGACATAACCTACCATAAAGGCTCCTTCAAGCTTCACAACTCCAAGACTGTTATCACTGATGATGCTGTTACTGCCGGCGCGGGGACCCAGATGTACGATCTCTACACCACGCTGGATAAGTATGGCCGCGTAGTTGTTGGCGGCGGCGGAAAGACAGTCGGTCTTGGAGGCTACGTGACTGGTGGCGGCCATTCTCTCTTGTCGACCAAACATGGCCTTGCAGTTGATCAAGTCCTCCAAATGACGATGGTCACACCATCTGGAAAGATCCTGACCATCAATGAAGATAACCATTCTGATCTCTTCTGGGCAATGCGAGGAGTAAGTCACTAACCACTCAACTTCCCAATCATACTGACAATCCAGGGCGGCGGTTCAACCTTTGGTGTCCTCACATCCATCACCATGAAAGTCTACAAGACCCCCAAAATCACCGCATCAGCCTTTACAATCGGAACCTCCGCAGCCGCTCCCTTCAAATACGATCTCCTCGCCTACATCATCTCCCAATTCCCCTCTTTATCCGACGCCGGTCTTTCAGGCTATACAATCCTTAGCCCCCAAACACCCAACCCCGCCGGCGGGCCCGACGAAGTAGCCGGTATCCAAGGTGTTTTTGCGGCACAGGACGTTAACGACCCAGAGTACATTCTCAAGTTGTTCAAGCCGATTAATGATACTATTCAGAAGCGGTGGCCCGGAGCTGTGCAGTTTAGTGCTACTAAGGAAGAGTATGGCTCTTTTTTGGAGTGGTATGATGTTTATTTTGATCAGGGCGCTGCGGGGGTGACCCTTTATCTTGCCTCGAGATTGTTGGGTAGGGAAGCGCTGGGTAACGAGAAGAAGTTCAGGGGGGCGTTGGAAGAGAGTTTGGTTTCTGCTGGGGGGTTGACGGTTCATTTGATCGCTGGGAAGGGTGTCAGAGATGCGGAGCCCAGAGGGGGGAGTGCAGCTGTTAATCCTGGCTGGAGGAAGAGCTATATTCACGCGAGTAAGTTCAATAGACTTCAGACGTCGGTTTGGAGTAAACTAACAAACCTATTAGTATCTGGAGAGTCCTTTGAGCCTTTCAACAAGACTTCTAAAGCTGAGGCAGTCAAGACGTTAAATACATCCATGGAGCCATTCCGCAAACTGTCTCCAGATACTGGGGCTTATATCAACGAGGTAAGATTGTCTATATCATTGGATAGAATTGATATTAATATGTACTAGGCTCTTCCTTTCGAACCTGATTGGCAGCATGCCTTTTGGGGCAAGAACTACGAGAAACTTCTGGCCATCAAGAAGAGTGTTGACCCTGATGATGTTTTTTGGTGCTTTCCTTGTGTTGGAAGTGAGAAGTGGGCACAGAAGGACAATGGTCGTCTCTGCCGAGTCAAATGAGTCTGCGATAGGAAACATTGGCAAGGGCTGCAATCTGAGTGGAGTTGAGTTGATACTGATCGACTAGATAGATGACCAGGGATAGTTCATGTCTACAACTTTGGTTCGCAGACAGCGATAAACGGTGAAATGACGCCTGCAAAAGATTAGCAATGTCATTAGTAGATGATCACATAACTTACTGCTCAGAAAAAGCCTTCCAGTCTTAGCATCATGCACAACCGTCGTAGCAGCCGGCAAAACCTCCCCCTTCGCATCCTCAACGATCTTCTCAACAACATACTCCCCTTTAACTTTCCTCACTCTCAGGACAGTACTGGGCGGGTGAGCATTATAAGGATCATCGTATGCCTTGAAGATCTCAACGCCGATAGGAAACGCAGCGATCCAGATATCACCATTTTCATCGATCGATGCGTTATCAACTCCATAGCCTAGGTTAACTTCATCGACCTTTTCGAGGTCTCTGTTGGGAGGGATGCGGTAGATGTATAGACGGCCTGTTATCGAGTCGGGGAGGTAAAGGAAGCTATCCTTTATGACGAGGCCGTTGGGGAATTGGAGCTTGGATGCAACGCGCTTGCAGCTTTGAGTATCGCAGAAAGTCACGTCGGAGAAGCCTAGAATCATCGACAGATGATGGCGCTGTCGTGTTAGTATAAGCTATAAAATTGGGATCAAAGTATTTACCCATCCGAATTTATGAGGACCGTGATCATTGCTGATATAAAACGTCTTATCATCCACCGCCGCAACACGATTCGGCGTAATTATTCCTGCGTGTGAGTAAGTGCGGATATGGTTCATCTGGGTAGCGTCGGGGCCAGTGACAAAGTGCTCGATAGTGGCATTTCCACCATGAACATATTGATCTGCCAGCTTTCCGTCTGCATCGACCGAAGGTCGCAAATTGACGAGAAATAGATCAATGACACCATTAGCTTTTTCAACGCCAGAGAAGCCAGCGAGGTTGACCAGTCCATCGCCAGCAGTGCCCTCGAAAACGGGTGTTCTCAACGCGCGGAACTCAAAGCCGTTATCAACCGGCTTATCGATATCCAACGCAACAATAGCATCGCGCTGCGATCGACCCGAAATATTGCGATACCCAACACTACACTAATTAATCACAGTCTAATATAATTTGTTCAATGTCAACATACTTTGGCTGCCATTGCTTTCGTGCAATTGGATCTGAGCACGCGAGGAACAATTGGCGCGTGGATTGGGATAAGTACATGTCCTCGCATGCTTCAAGACGATGATGCACGATTTTACGGCATTGGTAGGGGAATGAGCTGAGCGGCTGGATGGTTCTGTTTATGCCGAAACCAAGCCATATTGCTTCTTTGAGATAGATCTGGAAGAGGATTGCGAGGAGGGCGATGGCTGCGATACTGATTTTGATGAGTAGATTGGCCATTTTTGCTAGTTTTGACGGTTTGAATGAAATGAAGAGGGATGAAAATTAAAGAAATGGTCTGATTGAAGGATGCGCATCCTAGACAGTTCAAATAACCGCTGCTGTCATGGTCGGATGAATGCAAACCGACAGTTTCGGAAGAGTCGTTGATGCATCAGAGTCGCATCTTCAGTGCAGCTTGATCAATTCATCCAAGTGCATCACCTACAACTTACACGAGGGTGTCTCAATCAAACGTTGCGGCCCCACAGAACATCACCAAGGTCAATCAAGGCTCTCATAAAAAGTCAATGTCGTATATATACATCCAATCGATGCAAATATCCAATCTAAGAATAATACGCTTCTAGAAGCAGATACAAAATAAAGGAAAAATGTCATCCCATATCTACCATCGCAAAAAGTATCTACGCTTCACCTTATTAACTAAGTATTAAATGCCTCATCCATTATTTCCATTTACAGAGCTGCGACAAATGCGCCGACGATAAACGCCGCAAGAGCTGGAACGTTCCATGCGCTCGCGCCGTTGACGATCGCGGGGCTGGTGCCCGTTGGCTCGGAGGGTGTTGAGTCAACGGGTGTACCTGTTGGCTTGACGACGGTAGCGACGGTGTTGGGGGGTTGGGCGTAGACATGAGTGGGCTTGTAGGTGTGAAGCTCCTCAAGAGGGTTGCCGCCGGTAGGCTTGGAAGCGGTGCCAGTAGGCTCGGGGTAATCCTGTGTAGCGTGGCCCTTGGTGGGTTGCTCATAACCAGGCTTGGTGTAGTGACCTGTGAAAGTACCGTTGTTGTGATGGTTGGAGCCAGGAGGTCCGCAGGTAGTGCAGTAGCCAGGAACAGGAGTAGGCTTGGGCGCCTTGACGACCGATGTGATGGTGACGGTGCGGTATCCCTTGGTGGTAGCCTCCTTGCAGCCAAAGTTTCCAAAACCGCACTGGATGGCTTCGGGGATGGTGTACACGCCGGTAGGTTGCTCGGGGTTGATGATCTGCGTGTTGTGCACGATTTCGGTGGTGACGTCGCCCTTGTTGCAGGAGCCGGAGCCGGGGCAGGAAGTGATGGTGTACACGCGTGTTGATGTGAGGGTTGACTTGACGGGACCCTTGGTGGGTTGAGGAGCAACACCTGTAGCCTCGGAGCCGGGGCAGTATGTTGTGAGAGAGGTGATGATCTCGGTGGTGACATGGCCGACGGGACAGTCGGTGACGCTGGGAGGGCAGGCAGTGACCGTGTAGACCTTGCTGGTTGTGACGGTGGAAGTGATGGTTGTAGAGGGAGCGGAAGCAGTAGGGAGAACATAAGTGTTGCCAGATCCGCCAGTAGAGGTTGATCCAGGCTTGGAGGTTGTGAAAGTAGTGTTGGAGTAACGAGTAGTAGAGAAGGAAAGGGTGGTATCGGCAGTCGTTTCAGCAGAAGAAACAGACTCGGTGACAGACTCAGAAGCAGTCTCGGTGGAAGTGGGAGCTCCAGAAGTAGTGGTAGAGTCAGAGCCGCACTCACCAACCAAGTCAGGCACGGCATTGGGACCAGTGCCGATGGCGACGAGGTTGGTACCGCAATCCTCGTTGTTAGCGAGCCAGACATTCCTGTTATCCCAATCGTACACGACGTAGGCAGCGCGGAGGAAAGTGTCGCCGAGAACAGGGAACTCATCGTCCTGGAAAACACCGAGAACACAGCGATCGTCGTTGTGCCAGATGAAGTCTGCGTAGGGGACCTTGATGACGGTGTTGCCGAACTTGAAGTCGACGGTGCCCTTGAGATCGGCGACGGAGCAATCGACATCGACGTAAGCGCCGGGGGTTCGCTGGGCCGTGGGGAAAGCTGCGACGATCTTGTTGAAGATGGGGCCGGGGAGTGCGCTGACGGTGTATCCGCTGTCGAGGAGGACGGGCTGGCCGTTTGTCTGGGAGAAGATTGCGTCTTCGGAACCGTCGTCTTGGATGATGCTGATGCCGTCGAGGTGAACCCAGTATCTGCGATTGTTAGACGGCGCGCGCGTCAATTGAGCACGGGGACTTACCGGGTGAGACCATCGGGGGATGACTCGGCGGGGATGATGGGGCGCTTCTCAAGATGGCCGGTGTACTTCTTGGTGTCGAGACCACCGAAGATAACTGCGCCGCGATCGCTATCGAGAGTGCGAATATCGAGACTCAATGCGCGACTCTTGATAAGGCCCTGTCGGACCATGCTGTCAATCACGAGGGGGTAAGGCGCATCCCAACCATTCAGATCAGGCGCAGCGCCCATAATGCCGACGCTGGTAAAAGAACTATCGTATGCGACACCGAAAACTTGGTTGCGAATATTCGCAGCTAATTCAGTTAGCAAAAATTATGTCTCAGCGACGGTGAGGAATGCTGTCTCACATCCTACGACAACATGGTCGTAACCATAGTTCCAATAAGCATACCCAGTGCCGTAGACAACACCGCCAGTAGTGTTAAGGTTAACCCAGGTACTACTCTCGCCGAAATGACCAAAGGACTCGCAAAACGCGGGCTGCTGCGCCTTTGAGCAAACGGGGTTGACCCAGAGCTCTGCAGAGCCCGTGTCCAGATTGACAGTGACTTTCTGCCCCGGCGTACCGAGCTCAACGTCAATGCTATAGAAGAAACCATTCTGCTGGCTCTCAAGAGCGACTTCGTTTTGGCGCTTGGTAACGCCCTTTACAACGGGTGCGCCGGTGGAAACCTTGAGGGGGAAGCGAATGAGGCCATCTTCTTGGGGAGCGGCAGCGTGAGCCAACGCGGGGGCCGCGATGGCGAGGAAAAGAGCGGACAACATCTCTCCAATCAATTGAGATGCTTATACAATCGGGAACAGAGAAATGGAGAAAAGAGACAGGGGAAGGAAATAAGATGGAATTTGTTAACCCGGCGTAGTGAGTGACCGGGGAAACGAAACGATTAAAGAAGACGGGAATGAAACCTCGAGAACAGAGGAAGAGAGGTTGGAAGAACTAAAAATGGAGATGGCGGGAATTTTTTGTTGGACCGTTTCTATATAAAACCACCTGCAAATGCAACATGCAGAGCTAAGGGGGGGTCGTTCACCCTGGTCTTGTCTTTGATGATCTGTGCCTGGCGCTAATCAGGAGGAGGCCGGGGCCTCGTGTAGCGCCAGGTCAGCGAAATACAAGCGGGATGACGTGGAACAAAAAGAGGGGAAATAAAGAAGACAAAGGATTGAAGATTGAAGAATATTTAATATCTTTGTGGGTATTTACAAAGCGCCCTTTGTTAATCTTTCAGCTGAAGGGTTGTTTTATCTGCAGAGTTGACAATACGAGACTCCCTTATGCGCTGTTCCCTTCTTAGGGGTCACGTCAGCTCCGCAATGGTGCCGTTTTAGCGCCTTGCCATTCTGAGATTAGCTATCCCCATGCACCGTCGTATCCTCTCACGCAGTGAATACGGGGTCGTTATTTCCAGATCCCGCCGATCTGAGTTAGTATTTGTTTGAAACAGCGCACGGAAGGGATAAGGGAAGGTCCTTGAATTAACGCGTCCCGAGACATTGACTATTCGGATCCCGTGTCGGTTTTACCTTAGGGTAGAGGTTGGTAATTGATTGATGCACGACAGACTGCTCGTGCACCCGCCATGCAAAACGGCGTGCAGCGCCACGTCGACGACTCCCGTAAGCTTTGACGAAATGTCACCCTGTAGATGCAAGCCACAATCTGCCGGGCGCCGTTTATTTACTGGTCCGGGAAAGGTTATCGTTAAGATTTGATTGAGATCAGCGATTTGGATGGAGGGAAATGAACGTGGCTGGATTAGGGATGTTACACCATCGTAAGCGCAGGTTGTCAGTTGACTGTCATGGTGTAAAGGGATTTGGTGTTTTTGTGCTCGGCCGAGGTGGTCGGGAAGTGGCGGGGCGGCTGGGGACCTGATGATTTCATTAGCGGTTTTAACATGAAATGGTAGAGCCGCATTGATACAGTGTGTCTGTGAGGCGTCGTAAGTTCATTTTTTGTAAACAAACAAACAGACATTTCGCTCCTTAAATTAGATCAAGTACTGGATCTCGTCGGTAGAGACGGCTGGATTGAAATGCTTCTAATTCAAGGGCTGTTGGTCAGATGTCCATTTACCAGTAGCTCGTCTTCACCTCTAACGACATGATTACCGCTTCCCTCAACCTCTGTGTCACTCTCCAGCCATTGCAATAATTCTGTACCAAGACATCTTCTGACCAATAATTTGTAACTAATTAAGTTAATAAACTTGCGATGTGAGACCGAGACACGGAGGCTGGTCCGTTCAACTTTAATTGTTATGTGTACGTGTTACCCTGCAGTTCTACCCGCGCCCATGCTGTGAAGCCTCAATGCGACGAGACACATGCTGACCATGAGACCAACAATCTCCGACTTTTAACGAGAACAAGCAAAATGAGGTCCTCAAACAGCGTACCAAGAAGCGAAAATAAGCTGGATGCATATCATTAGCTGTCTCGCATTCATCTCCCTCCAACCCACCACTGTCTAGGGAACTGCATGCCCCATTTCCCCATGAGTACTCTCAACTCATCCTCTGCCCCCGGCACGACATTGATGAAAACCCTACCACTACCCCCCTCACTCATACAAGGTTCAGAGTGTACAGCTCCAAATTCCCTGCCAATTTTGAACACAGAGCATTCACCTATTTCTGCTGCTTCTGCACCAAAGGGTTTTAGTACAGTAGCTAGTTCCTCGCGCACAGCATCTGCTGCAGCTGCACAGCCAACACAACGAATTGACACGCATTCATGGTCTGTACTTGCTGCGTTACGGGCGCATTCTTGTGCTTTGCGAGCGTAGGGTTGATGGGATGCGGGTATGAAGAGTGTCGAGGGGCCGAGAAGGGTAGTGCAGATCTTCCAGTCCGTTCCGGTGTTCTGGAGATATTTGTGGTGTTGTGATTTGAGACCTAGTCTTGTACCGGGGAGTACGTCCGTAGTGAAGAAGAGTTCATCTGTGTGCCATCTTGTTTGATCAAACTCGTGAGTTGGTGTCGTAGCGCGTATGGTGAGGAAGTAATCCTTAAACCCCTTGGCGACGAGAAGATTGTTGATATAGCTGAGAAAAGGAAGAAGCCTAGAGTGAATAGAGCCTGTAAAGACTTGACTCTCAAAGTCGTAGAGATTGCCTGGCAATGATGAGTCCCAAGGGTCGAGGAGAGGACCGCAGTAGCACCAATAGGCCGAGCGCTTGACGGTTATTGAGTCTTGGCATTGATCGGCATCGTCGAGGTACTTTAGAAAACAGAATTCCCGGTCAAAAGCTGTATCTACGGCTCTCATGATCGTTAAATGAGAGGATTCGTGAGGAGATGGATGATCAATGTCGGCTGGGCGGTCAAATGGTACGAATCCTTCTCGTCGCTTACTGGTGACTAAGCAGGCTTGAAACCGAGAGATGCTTGACAGAGTGTTGATTGAGAACTAATTCTAATTCTATTGGTGATAAAAGTTACCAAGGTGGACAATGAGTAGATGTGCCATGTCTATTAAAATTCGAAGGTCTGGTAAACGCTGGACTGATTCCTCGATGAGATGTCTGGCGAGAATAGTCTCGGGTCACGCTGTTCACAGCTAGCTATTCCAGGTTTGGACTCCATATTCAGATGATGCCACGGGTATGATCAAAAGGAGGCCTGGAGAGCCATCGATGAACACTGGAAAGCTTTCCAAGGCCAACAATCACTCTTCAGTGTTGAGCTATGATACTAGACTTGTAAGCCCCTTCCTCTGCCTGGGCACTTCAGAGAAGCAAATATAATGCAATGATCGAATTAATTAGTTGTCTATCAATAAGCACATGAAATTCTCATAAAAAAGTAAGAACATTATTTCGAACCCGAGTCCATGGTAACTTTTCAATCTCCAACGCCTTTTACCCGGTCCAAGAATGCACCATCTCCACAAACCTCTCAACCTGCGCCCCTTCGGTCGCCCACGTCGTCAACAATCTAATAACAGCCTCATCATCACCACACTTCTCCCAAACATAAAAACTAAAACTCTCCTTCAGTACCTTGATCAGTCCCAACGGCAACACCGCAAAAACCTGATTCGTCTCCGTCGCAGCATATACTGAAAATCCCCCCTGCGCAATACCGCTCGATAACGACTCAGCTGCCAAATTCGCCTTGCGCGCTAGGTCAAAGTAGAGATCTCCCTCGAAGAGCTCTGCGAATTGTGCGCCGATGACACGGCCTTTTGCGAGGAGTGAACCGTGCTGTTTGACGTAGAATTCGAATTCGGAGGAGAGGCGGGCGTCTTTAACGACTACGGCTTCGCCGAGAAGGGCGCCGTTTTTTGTGCCGCCAATCCAGAATATGTCTGTGAGTTCGAGGATGTCGGAGAGGGTCATGTCGTTTGCCTTTGAGGCGAGGGCTGTGCCTATTCGAGCGCCGTCGAGGAAGAGAATCAGGCCGTTCTTTTCGCAGACTTGTTTTATAGCTGCGAGTTCGGCTCTCGAGTATATGGTTCCGATCTCAGTTGCGTTGGATATATACACCAGTCGAGGTTTCGCCATGTGAGGAAAATGCCAATTATCATCTAATGCTCGCTCGATCGTCGCAGGCGTAAGTTTTCCATTCTGAGGTGTGACGTTGATGATTTTGTGGCCGCTTGCTTCTACCGCGCCTGTTTCTCTTGTAACGATGTGCCCGGAGCTAGCAGCGATAACAGCTTCATGGGGTCGAAGACATGCAGCGATAGAGATAGCATTGGCTGATGTCCCACTCGGCACGAAGAATATGCCAACGTCGTTACGGCCGAGATGTCGACGAATTCGTTGCCGTGCAAGATCGCAGTACGCATCGCCTCCGTAGCCGGTTTCTTGGGTTGTATTGCTGGTGATTAACGCTTTGAGAAGAGCAGGATGTGCACCCTCGCTATAATCGTCCATGAAACTATAGCGAGGAATTGAAGTTGGTATTTGAGACGGCATTTTTGACGATGAGTTAGAATGGTGGTTGTGATGGTGCTGTACTAATTCTGGCATTTCTATATAGATGATTTCATCCCCACTCGATGATCCACAGATGAATCACAGAATCGAGGTGTTAGTAACTGGCGTGTTAGTCAAACCCGTCGTGGTGGGTCGTTTACTCAACATTCCATTACGCTTCCCGAAACTTTACCAAACCCAATTGCGCTAACAATGCCGTCTTCACACGTGTATTGCATCATGTGAGAGTTTATTTTTTGATAGATAACGCGAACCGGCCCGGTTGGTTGATCATGGGGACATTGATATCGTATTCGCTGCATCGAGAGAAAAATCGATGAAGCTTCGATAAGTCTCCACAGTTGAGGAGTCGAGCGGTTTCGGATACGTAAGGATCTTTTGATACTTTGGCTTTAGCGGCATTCCCGTTGCTGTGAGATCGCTGGCCTGGTCCCAGAGTTCAGGATACTTTTCGAAGAATGCGGGGTCGATCTTGTAGTAGCCCGCGCCCTTGTCCATGTTCAATTTATTGAACGCGGCGCGAGCATACGCAGGTGATGAGAATAACGTTGAAATGTCGGGTGCAGGGAGCATAGCAATTGTGTTTTCGCTCTCGGATGTTCCGGACGACATGGTGTTGATGAGGTCTGTTACACGCACGTAGACCGTTATCTGCGGGGCACCCAGGACGAGATCTGACATGAGCGCCTCAACGACGTAGCCTGTTACAGCGTCGCAGAAGATCTGGTCGATGTGAGGGTTTGCAGAGTGCAGCTGAATTAAGCGATCGCGAATTGTAGGAAAGGGGATCCAGTCGATGATGCCGGGGTGAGGATTCTCAAGCTGTGCTGTTGTAGGGCGGTAGCGGGGATGGAGTTTGTTGAAGGTTGCGGAGGATGGGTAGAGTTGCCAGGCTGTGAGTTCGATGATGTGGTAGAAGCGTGTTTTGGCGTACCATGCCATTACGTCTGGACGGGTCATGCTGTTGAACATGGATAAGACCATAAGGACTGGTTGGTAGACACTAGATATGTTAGGAAGCTTCGAAGATGTTGAGATGGAATGGCATACCTCTGGACAGGATTATGACCTTCTGGAACAAATCCAAGAGTATTAAGCTTGTTCTTGAGCATTCGCTGAAGTAATTGGATATGATCCGAGAATGGTGAATTGGTAAATGAGTAATCTTTCCCTAAAACCATGCTTGACTCGGCTGTCGCATTGATGGCAGTTAGATAAGGCTGCATGCCCATCTGATACTCGTGGCTCCAGATGTTTGGGATCTGAGAGTAGAATGGACTTGTTCCGGAAACATTGATGAGTTCTGATGAGATGCCATTATCTGTCGTTGGAGCTGTGTGTCACTGTTAGCTTGATTTCGATTCCGGATGGCAATGCTTACCGCTGACGTTTGATGATGAAAACGGTGCATCAAAGTCCAGAATCGACGGATCAAACGCCTCCAAGTCAATCGACTGCAACGCCGACTCTTCAACAATCTGTTCGTCATTCCTAGTCTCCCCATTCACCCGCTGATCTCTTTCTCTCTCACCATCTCTGCATCGCTCATCCCCCTCACCACTCGCCGTATCATCAAGCGTCTTAGCCACTGAGTCACTCAACAACTGCACCGACGCCATCATCCGCGACATTTTCGTCTGAACATCAATCAACTGCTGTCTCAGCAATCGATTCTCCTTCTGAAGCGCTTCTACACGCTCACTATCAGATCGCTGGTCCGCATTCACGCGGTTCTTCAGCTCGCGAATACATTCTGCCTGTCTACGACGAAACGCTCGTTGCGATAAGCGATTGCGGAGTTTTCTACATTTGTTAGGGAATATGAAGAGGTGCCGGGGGTGAGGGGACGAACTTTCGTTCTTGCTCATTCAGAGTGGTGTTCTTCTCGTCTGTGTGAGGTGAGTCCATGATGGCCCGGGGATCTTGTCTCGGTGTGCAGATGCTCAGCTTGACAGGGCTTGTTATCGAGCCTGGATCGACCAGCATTTGAGAGTCAGCGGTGGAGAGGGGGCTTTTTCATTGGAGGTTGATGCTTGGAGCGGCCTTTTGCGGTTAGGGACGGTCAATTTGGGCCGTTGTCGGGGTTCGTCCCCACTGAAGAAGGGAACTTTTAGGGCCAGGGACTAAGCCGCTTTCACCTGATACCATCATTCTTCATCATGTTCTTTAAATTGAAGTAGTAGAGAGGCCAGGCTTGTAGAACGATGAAATATACGCAAGAACGATTGCCATTACAGGGCTCAACACCTACAGCTGGAAGCGCTGGCTTCTACCAACCTGCTCATCAACATCCCCCTCATTCTCAACGAGCTCCCTCTCCAATTTCTTATTCTGTCGCCAATAAACCCCCATAATCCCCGCAGTAATCGGCAGAGCAGCCACATACAACAAGACAATAGCCAAGAATCCCTTTGTATACTTTGGCGCATCACTCTCACGAAAAAGCTGTTTTCCAGCTAGTCCACCAGCATTACTCCCAATGACAACCAACGCCAATCCAATACTGCGCTTCTCAGCAGATCGAGTATTGATACTCAACCAGGCATCATTGAGACCTTGAGATAACGCATTGCCACTACTTAAGAGGGTGAAGAGGGCGTATTTGGTCCACTTGTCTTTATCAGTAGATCCAAACAAAGCACCGCCGAATGTAATACTCCAAAGAAACGCGACCATGCACCATAGACCTCGCTGCTTCGTCTTGTCGGAAGCCCAAGCGATGGCGAAGCTGAGAAAAACGACGAGGAAACTGCTGACGGAGTTTAGAAGGTTGGAGTTGATCTTGCTGAAGCCTAGACTTCGAATGATGGTTGGTCCGTAGAGTTGAAGGCCGCCCTTTGGAGCGAGAGATACGAGGTTTAGAATAGTGTGGATCCATATACGGTAATCGGTGAGGGCGGCGGTAATGCCTCGGAATGTGATCTTTGCGTGGGCTTCGGTCTTGGAGATGTCTTCTTGATAGATTCGGTCGTGCATGATTTCACGCTCACGAGAGGTGAAAAGGTCGAAACGGCCGTGAATAGGTTTCGTGTGAATTGGTGATCGGGGTAGAAGAAGGATGAAGACGAGAAAGACCAGCAGAGTAAAGATGCCCTCGACTGTTTCGTGTTAGCAATGTCAATTACGAAGCTTTGTAAGAGGGACGAACTGATGAAGAGCCACTGCCAGCCAGCCAGACCAGCTATACCGCCCATCTGCAAGACACCAGCAGCAATCAGCGACCCCGTAGCAGTAGCAAAGTAATTCCCAAAATAAAAAACCGACGTCCTCAACGCCAACTCCTTCTCCCGATAAAACAGCGCAAGCATATACTGTCCGCCGGGAATAAACCCAGCTTCGAAGAACCCCAAAAGAAATCGTGTCGCAAAGAAGGAATGCACGTTCGTAACCCAAGCTTGTGTCAACGCAACAGTTCCCCAGATAAGCACCTGGCCCGTCAGCCAGATCGGCGCGCCGAGTTTTTGAAGGATGATGTTGGAGGGGATTTCGGCGATGATTATGCCGGCCATCATGAGCTGGTCGCCAAGATTGACATCGTCTTTGGTGATGTTTAGATCGGTTGTGAGCGTGTCGGTTAGGGCGTTGCTGATGTTGCTGCGGTCGAGCTGGAGGGCGAAGAAGCCGAGGACGAGAAGGGGCATGAGGATCATGTCGAGCCTAGAATGTGAGCTCGGGGCGTCAATTGGGAGAAGGGGTTGTCAACTTACTTTCTGACAACTGCCTTCTCTTCGTCATCTGTCCAAGTAGGATGCGCAACAATTGACTGCGACGCATCATCAAGATCGTGGGTTTCCTTATCAGCCTGAACGTGATCCATCTTAGTAGATTTACCCAGCGCCATGTTGATACAAGCCCAAATATACTGGGTAATTCAGCAGCCTGTATCGAATTGATCGTCCAGTCGTCGACTATCAGCCGTCTTTATACCCATCCATCACCATCCCAAGAGTTATAGCTCCTTAACATGATAAGGTATCATAGATGATCAGCTGCGCACGCCATTGAATGTTAAGATCGCGTATCTTTACCCTTCAAGAAGGTTTGCTAGGTTATTGAAGGGAAGATGATTTTAGTCTTCGGAGGTGAGCGTCGGCGATGAGCGAAAATGTGGGGTTTCGGACGGTTCGCCGATGGCTTCAAGCTGAGCCCTTGAACATACGCGATTGACGAGGATAATGAGCTAACAGCGAAGTTAAAATGAGGTTGACTCAGTGTAGAATATTTGTCTGCAACCAGAGCCAAGCATCAACGTCTGCAAATTGAAGCAATTCGAAATGTCCAAAGATCCATCAAAACCAAACATCGTGCTCATCCTAGCTGACAATCTCGGTTGGGGTGAGCTCGGCTGCTATGGCGGAGGCATTCTTCGCGGCGCTGCGACACCGCGCATCGACAAACTCGCCACAGAAGGTCTTCTTCTTCATAACTTCAACGTGGAGAGTGATTGCGTTCCCACGCGCTCGGCCTTGATGACAGGTCGTCATCCCATCCGAACTGGCTGCCGACAATCTGTGCCAGCTGGATTTCCTCAAGGCCTTACAAATTGGGAGCGTACACTGCCGGAATGTCTCAAGCCAAAAGGTTATGCGACGGCTCATCATGGAAAGTGGCATCTTGGTGATATTCCTGGTCGGTATCCTTCTGATAGGGGATTTGACGAGTGGTTTGGAATTCCGAGAACGACTGATGAGAGTCAGTTTACGTCTGCTTTGGGATATACACCTGAAGTTGCGGAATTGCCATACATCATGAAAGGTGTTGCGGGACAAGATTCTGAGAATGTTTGCGTGTATGATCTCGAAAAGCGAAGGCTGATCGATGAGATGCTAGTTGACCAGTCAAAAGACTGGCTTTCGCGTCAAGCCAAGGCAGAGAAGCCCTTCTTCTTGTACCATCCCCTTGTCCATCTGCATTTCCCGACTCTGCCGCATCGCGACTTCGAAGGGAAGACAGGACAGGGAGAGTTTGCTGACTCTATGGCTGAGATGGACTACCGAGTTGGTCAACTGATCGATCACCTGGATGAGCTTGGAGTTCGTGAGAACACAGTCTTGATATTTGCCTCTGACAACGGACCTGAGTTTAGACCTCCATACAGAGGTACTGCTGGGCCGTGGTCTGGGACGTACCATACTGCCATGGAGGGGAGCTTGAGAGTCCCTTTCATCATCCGATGGCCGGGAAAAGTCCCTGTTGGAGTAACATCCAACGAAACCGTCCACGTAACCGATATTTTCACAACCATCCTTCAAGTTGCGGGTGCAGAGGTCCCAAACGATAGACCCATCGATGGAATCAGCCAGGTAGCGTTCTTCAAGGACCCGACTGCTGTCAAATCTCAGCGTGAAGGCTTCCTCTTCTACATCAAGGATGAGCTACGAGCTGTGAAGTGGAAAGACTGGAAGCTTCATTTGGTCTGGGAACCAAAGGTCAACCAATCTTCTGGAAAGCTGGAATCTCCATATTTGTTCAATGTGGTGAGAGATCCAAAGGAGGAAACAGATATTTTGGCGTACAATACCTGGGTCTTGCAGCCGGTTATGAAGCTGAGAGCGGCATTTGAGAAGAGTTTGAGGAGTGATCCAGCACCGCCTGACCCACTCAAAGGTCTCTAAGGCTACTCTAAATTGAGAAAGACAACGGAAGACATGAGTATAAGTCGTGTAAATTAAAATAAATATGCCCATAAATTCTTTTTTTTCTCGGAGGCTGATGGTAGACTGCTGTTACAATTATGTTTGATCGAATATCCACGGATCCAGAGTGGGCGGAGTTGTCGTCCATAACGTCGCCGTCCCATCTAGATCCAATGACGGGACAACATTATGCCCAAACAAAAACTCACTTGAGATATCCATCGGGAGCTCGGAAGCCATCTCGTCAATAGTGGCTGACATCTCATCAAAGCGGTCACGATATGAAGCTCCAGGAGGATACCGCTCTGCCATTCCCCACAGAACCGTTGAACATACAGATACCCGACTCTTCAACGCGTTCACATCAAACACTGCGCCTTGGAGTGTAAGACTCTTGATACAGTGGATCAAGGCTGCACCAGACTGGAACAGGTTTGGTGTCGTTCGCCAGTAGAACCTCAACTTGCCCTCTTTGAAGCCCTCTTTGTAGAGCTCAATGCTCGTGGAAGCATATTGCGCAAGATCTCTCAGCTCTTCTTCTGAAAGGTGAGGGAAGTGGCGAGATGGTGAGAAAAGAGACACAAGAGTCATGTACAAAGCGCCATCGAAGAAGTTCTGGGGCGCAAGCTTTGATGTTGCGTCCACCGGGGGCACATTAGCATGCCAATCCATAAGGCGGTTTTTCATACCCATCTTCCACGCTTTGTAGTCGAAGAAGTTGCCATTTGCGGGAGGTTTGTAGTTAAGAGTGTGAAAGATTTCGTATTCGAGTTGGCGGAAGAGAACGCAGTGGTTTGCTAATGGGCTTGATGACTCAGGTCCGCTTGTTGAGGGGAGGGGCGTAAAGATAGCTTCGTCGGGTATTGATCGCGGTCGATTGAGTATGACACAGAGGTTTGTTTCGAGGATGTATGTGGACCAGAATACCCGACGTCTCTGGTTGACTTCTGCGTCAGATTCATGCGCGCTGTTTGTCACGGAAAGGCGAGTTTCGTTTAGCAGGTCGAGATCAATAGCTAATCGCGTCGCTAGACCGATAAAGTGCCAAGCTGCAGAGAGATTTGAAGCGAAAATGGTATACTGTACGACGAGGAGAAGGTTTTGGAGGTGTTGAAGATCGCCTTTCCACGTAGCCTGCGGCCGCTTTGTGAGTATTCCAATAGCTGATGCGAAGAACGAGTCAGATGCAACGGTCGGAACAGCAGAATCTGTCCTATTGAGAAGTCTAATAGCGATGGCTAGGACCATGCAAAGCTGGAATTTCTGGACTGAGGTGTCTTGATCGGGAGTAAGCTGTTCTTGGTACAAGGCGGCGATGGTACTGTGAAATGATTCTTCGTCCAGAACAGGTGAGAAGAAATTTGAGTGTTCGAAATATGTGGCGGTGAGTTGGATGGCAGTCGGTTTGGGAGGAAACTTGATGGTTTCAGGTATGGTGATACTGTCGAGTAGAGCATGATAGCCCGAGTCTTCGGGGTGCTGTAAATCAACTGGCTTAGGAACAAGTAGACCGAGCAAATTCAGATCGCTAGAATGAGGTGCTTCTGGTGTCGATTCGAGAGCATCCTGGGAGACCCGGCTTCCCGCCACAGACTCTGTATCTATCCCTTGGCTACGCAGTGCAAGTTCAAGCTCGGCGACTCGATCCTCCAGACTCTTGATGTAACTGTACAGTATATAAGCGAAATATTCGTTTGAAATGAGGAGTAGGCGTCAATTACCTTCGAGGCGCAGATTGGCCGTCTATGTCAACGCTTACACAGGGAACTCCGGCACGTGTACAGGATGAACACGCCGGGATGTTCTGATCACAACGCTGTTTCCGGGACTTGCATCGCTGACAGGCTGTCACATTCGCACGTCGGACACCGCTCCGCTTGCGATTTGAGGGAGGATTGTCCATTTCTGATGGCACTAAAATGGTTGGTCATAATGGAGATATTTAGGAGTTGAAAGTTCGCCGAAGCAGTAGGCTTTCCCCGCGTTGACGCGATAAGCGAAGATCAATCAATCCCGGTCGCGCGAGGAAGAGAACAGTGGGTCAGCTTGATCCCGACTAGGAAATACTGGGAAGAACAAACGTATTCCAATTGGAATTCATAGAAAGTGTTGAGGCCTAGCATTTTTCACGAAGCTGAAATAGTAAGCATATACTAAAAGTCAAATAGTTGAATCTTCGACACGATCGTGCATTGTACTAATTATCATTATGTTTGGTTGGCTGTTGTGCCGTCTATGTGAACTTCTAGACTGCCTGTATCTACTTGCCCGAATATCAATTGAATCTTTCAAAACCATTGTCTGGTGCTATCCGTTAAATACCAAGACAGGAAAGTTCTAATCCCCACAGACACTTGCCGTCAAGATGATACCAGAGTAGGTCTCAGCTTAATCGACAGCACAACAAAAAAGGGTCATTAGAATCGAAAACTAGTTCACACCCTTTTAAGAGCAGTGAACCACACCGTCACTGTGAGTGTGGCACTCCTTAGGAGCCTCCTTGGTAGCACTAGGCTTAGCAGAGTCCGCCTTGGTGGGAGTCTCCTTCTCCTCCGCCTCACCAGTGCATCCCTCACCAGGAGCAGCAATGTCGTAAGCGTAAACGTCAATAGCGAAGTACTGAAGAGCGTCGCTGTCGATGACGCTCTTGGAAGGATCGGTCTTGGCGAGCTCGAGAGCTTCAGCGTAGTCTTCGGCGAAGTGGTCGACGATACCCTCGCTGATGGTAGGGACGTGGAGGACGCGGTGCAGGAGATCAGTGGCCCAGAAGGTGTTGAGCTTGGATTGGGCGACGGTGTAGCCGAGACCGCAGACGGAGTCGAGACTGCGGCGGATCTCGAAGGAGAGAGGGCAGATGACAGTCTCGGTGGTGGCGTTGTCACCTCGCCAGTGGCCAGCCCATTCTACAATCGTTAGTAACCCGTTCATAATAAATATATAGTCATAACTTACTATCCTGAGTAGCGCAGTTCTTGTCAGGATCATCGCAACGGAACAGCATACCCGCCTTGTTGGCGTTGATAACACGATCATACCAACCAATAGGCGTAGCAGTCGAGCCATTACCAAAGTACTTCTGCTTGAACTCAGACTCATTTCCCCATCGGAGGAGATGGTCCTTTGCGTGCTGAGCTAGCTGAACAGTCTCATCCAGAGCATTGACCAGCTGACGACGAAGCGTCGCGTTGCAGGACTGGTGGATGGGATAATCCTTGGCCCAGCCCTCAGACCAGTCGTAAACGCTGTTGGTGGCGGTGGTCTGAGGAGCAGACTTTGTCTGGCTGGTCTCCGCGCGGCCGAAGATGGGAGTGGCGGTGGCTGCTCCGAGGAGGAGGGCTACGGCAGTGGTCTTGAACATCATCTTGACGGTTGATTGTAGAGGGAGAGATGTAGCTCTGGAATTGGCGGATGAGGCTGAGAGGCTGAGGAAACAACTATTCATGCAGGAGGTATTGCATGGTATTTATACATCTCTTCTGCGGTCCGTCAGAGCATCCGGGTTCCTAGATTCTGGGAATAGCCAGCCACTCACGGCTGAAAATCCTTCAGACCCTTGTCTTGGTGTATCTCGTGGGGGCTCTTACAAGGTTTGACCGTTCAACCGGTCGATGCATTAGCAAACAGAGCCCATCAAGAGATTTTTCAGTGGCGTCATATATAAACATCCAACAAATCACATCGTCACATTGACTCTTAGGATTGTTGTTAGCCTCGGTGCTTTCTGGCATGACATGTCTATCAGGGTTCTTGTTCCCACTACACGGTAACTATCAAGGTATCTTGGCACTAAGAAGCAGTGGATCGGGACCAAACGCTTATTCTCAATTAAGGTAAATAATATGCTTAACCCACCGTTGCAACCTTGTTGGTCAGCTATGCTTAAGTCTCTGCGCTGTTATCCCCCACGGAATATTCAATAATTTGTCTAATGGCGCATGATCGGTGAGATCGTTTGCATGCATGGTGAGGCATTTTACAGAGGTCCGGTTCGCGTTCCCCGACGAGTTTCTGCATGGATTGATGGTTTTTGTGATTTTATACGCTGTTGCCAGTCTATTGACAGCTCTGGATCAGCTGGATGCCTAGCTAGCATCATCGGCGTCGTGGTTGGGGGCCTACTATTGGCCAAACCTTGAAGATTCTAGACCTCCAAAAAGGTACTCGCCAATGCTGGACTTGCGCTTCAAGAAAAAAGACTGGACGAATACTGGATTAATGATGGAAGATTCAAAATACCGAAGCTTAATTCGACCAAGAGGGTGAATAGTCAGGCGAAGATGGCATGCTTGCTTCTCTCACATTATGTCGAACATAGATGACAAACGCGTGGCGCTTGGTGGACGTGAATTAATATAGTATCTCTTCAATTAGCCTTCTTGTTGGTTCTGAGCATTAGGAACTCGAATGTTTTAACATTGAAAGGACTTGTCGATGTCTTCGTTCAAGTTTATGTGCGTGGGTCTTGCGAAAAGGCCAAGGTTGGCAGGCTCCCCCACCGGTTCGACTCAGCCGAACCAATTGTTGTCACTATCTGCTTCACAAACATTATCTAATCCTTCATCCTAGGCTTTCATGATACACACTGTTCTTGGGAAACTTTCTCCCTTGTAACTAAAATGAAGCCCAAATTCTCTAACAACGTATGTCGTGCTAATTTGGTCACTGGTCTTTATGCCTTCTCCAAATCGCTAGGCCTCGCCCATAAGCCCTCAGGTTCAGCACCCTTCGCAACCCTCAACAACTTTCTCTTCTCCCTCTGCTCATTATACGTATCCAACCACTCCTTAGAATGTCCAGCCAAAGGCTTAATCTCATTATCAACAAGACTAGAATTCGCCCAGTCCAATAAATCCCTCACATACTCGATCTCTTCACCATCGCCCGCCAAACTATGAAATTTCCTCCCACGTCCCTTGCTAGCAACACGCTGATCATATTCCTGTCGCAAAGACTGAGTATCGGGTAGAGACGTCTTTCCAGTGAGTACTCGGGCGAGAACTTGTGCTTGGAAATCAAAGAGGGAGAATGTCGCGGTGTAATATGGTACGCCGATGAATGAGAGTGATGGATCTTCGGTGTAGAATATGTCTTTGTGGAGGTTATGAACCATGTTTCCCTCAGAGGTTATGAGAATATCTCGCGTTGCGTTGTTGGCGGATACATCATCGCGGTGGTATTGCGCGAGGAAGGGGTACGATGTTAGGTAGCCGGTAGCCAAAACGACAGCATCGACATCATCAAGAACCTTTCCATCACTCAAAAGAACCCGACTCTTCACCCCTCCAGTATCTGGGTCCTTCTTCAACACAAATTTCTCAATCCCTCCAACATGCTTAACGCTCCCAGGGAACATCGAAGGCGGCAAGTCAAAGTCACCGCCCCTGGTACTCTGAACAACCCTCTTCGCTGTCTCACTCGTCTCACGGCAAACATCATACGCCGAGGCTCCCCCACCAACAACCAATACAGTCTTTCCTTTAAATTGCTCCGGTCGACGATACTGCTTAGTGTGTATAACATCATCACCAAAGTGAGCTTTCCATTCAGCAAGACCAGGAGTATCCGGAATGCGGGGTAGGTTATAATGCCCAGTCGCCACGACGACAGCATCGAATTTCCAATTCCGTTCGATTATTCTTGGTTCCCCTTGGCCTTTGAGGAGAGTGATCGTTCGAATATCCCAGTAGCTTTCATCGTCACCCTTTTTGACGTCATCAACTCGCGTATGGAAGACTGTTGCATCGTCGACTCCAAACTCTTTGCTCAAGCCTTGGAGATAACTTTGGATTGTTTCATGGCCGGTGATATCTTCAGTACCCTTTGGCCATGGGCCAAGGTTGCTGTAGAGCAGACTTGTAGGGACGTTGTTTCGAAGACCGAAATAAGCGGGGCCGGGAGGGGAGAATGCAACGTCGAGATCGTTCCGGTCTTTAGTCTCGAGGGGATGAGCAGTGCTTTCGGTTTTGGTTTTGGAGATGGTTCGGCTTGATGAGAATTGTCCTGGGAGCGAAGTCACATAGTCGCCGGCAGAGGGCTTTTCGCTAGGGTAGTCCGTAGTCGCTGCTCTGGGATCGTAGTGCCATACTCCAGATGTGACGCCAGATCGTTCGAATACAGTGACATCGGCTCCCTCTTTCAGTAGATATGCTGCCGCACAGATTCCGCTGACACCGGCGCCGATTACAGCGACTTTGATGTCGGGGCCGAACTTGGTGGACTCTTCGGGCGAAGGTGATCGATCACCGTTTAGGAAAGGACTCATATTGGCTGTACTGTTTAGGATATACCTGATAATGAATCGTATTGCCGATAAAGGCTTTCTAAATCCAGTCTCTTGAGAGAGTCTACATGGGACGGGGCTTATGATATAAACCCCTCAAAACCAGTGGTTTAATATAGTTTCATCCGCAACACCCATTAGTCTTACGATTATCGATACATCTTGTCCGTTTTCGACTCTCTTATCTCCGTTTGCTCAGTACAACTCATACTGTCTCCCTATTGTGTGCGATTGCTGGCACTTGACAGGTCGATAAAACTCCAGTATGGAACCGTTGAGCACGCCATATCGCGAATTATGTCACAAAGGGTATAGTCCAACACTGTAACGCTTGACGTCAATCTCGAACTTTATTGTGCAATTAAATACTATAGATAGCTTAGTAATTATAGATTGTCTGATAAAACATCATTTGATAAGTTGAGGCTCATGGCTTGACCCCATATACTTGAGCCTTCATAAGTAGAGTCCCTGTACCTGTCGCCTTCGAGGCTTTCACATTCTGGAGAGAACATTATTTACAACTGTTGGTCTTATCTCCAGACATTCCATTACTTGTTTCAGTTGATGCTAATTACTTGACTGATTGCTTGCTGTAAGGTCAAAGTTTAGGCTGCTCACATGCATAACGAAGACACGATATTCTTTTTCACATTATAAGCTTCTACCCATCGACCTTCCGCAATGATAATTGACGCTGACTTGATAATCCTCACTGATTCACATGACAAAGCCGATGATCCCTCAACAATAAAAACGGAATGACCCTAACCTCTACTAAGGTTATTTTCAAATCAGCTCCATTATTCAGCTTCGGACAATGTCCCAAATCCCGAAAGATGTTTCTGAGCATCTGACAATTCCCGTTGGCCCAATCAAATGTCCTAGGCCACTATACTTGATCGCTGCGCCGCAAAGGATTCGCGGAGCCGAGCTATAGTCATCACAAGCGCACGTAATGATTGCAACTACGGAACAGCTTTTCCACTTTATATCCCCTATCCAACATGACCAGCATCATTTTCTACTATCCATAGCCAATTATGGCTCAATGGTTGCATCATCGGATCTCACAATCATTACATAAATCCCTACCTAGAATCAACGTCAGCTTATCTAAAACTCCGACTCCACCTATAGGATCCAGTATCAGCTTATAGCATCGCTAACTCCAATCCTTCGTATATCGGGTCGTCAATACCAATCACGATGGTCTTATTCAACCTAAACGAGATAAGTCCTGATTTTCAGTTGACGATCTAACCTCAAATTCGGGCCTCGGCAAAAAGTCTAGCTGTTTCCACGTCCCCCTCATTTATCATGAGGATCGCCCTCATGAAACAGGAAGACTAATTCCTCTTCTTCACATCAGACAAATCTCATTATCGACTCAAAATGGTTTCAAAACCTTCTGCAGTCGGTCCAAAAGCCTTCATCTTATCAGCCCTCACCATAGGTCTAGGTGTTTTCCTCGCCCGCCCCATTAATCGCGTCACAACCGTTCTCGGCTTCTTCCGCACCCCATCCTCCACCGTAGTCTCTGATGCAGACTTCATAACCATCGACGACACAATTGTCTGCGAAGACGTGCATCTTCACTCTGGTTTACTCTACACAGCTTGTGAAGATTCCTACGCACCGCGGTTCTCGTGGTTTCCTGGTCTGGGCGTTCTGCATGATCCCCTCACGGCTAGCAAGTCGCGTGGGTCTATCCACGTCATAGACCCCAAGACGTTTAAATCGAAAAGATTAGAATTTGAGGACTTTGAGGGACCTTTTATCACGCATGGTATTGATGTTATTGCTGATCCTAAGGATGAGAATGGGGTTTATATTTTTGCTGTGAATCATGTTCCGAATCCTGAGTACCTTCAGCATGTTGTGGATGGGAAGAAAGATGAGTTTGGCGGAAACAAAGCTGCTTCTCGGGTTGAGATCTTCCATCATCGTGTTGGATCTTCTTCGGTTAAGTATGTCCGATCAATCAGTCATCCTTTGATCCAGACTCCAAACGACATTGTTGCTCTGTCCCCGACAAGCTTTTACGTCACGAACGATCATCATTATCGCGAGGGTCTTATGCGACAGGTCGAGGATATGTACTATGGTGCAAAATGGTCAAACACGATCTATGTTGAAATCACCGATACCACCTCCAAGGAATCGACATCAGGATTCAATGCTTCCGTCGCTCTGACAGGCCTTCATAACAACAACGGTCTCGACCACGGACGAGCTCCCAACGAAATCGCCATTGGAAGTGCAGCTAGCGGAGATATCCACATATCCACCGTCAAACCCGACCATAGCATCCAAGTCCTAGAAACAATCCCATTCGACGCAGCCGTCGATAATCCCTTCTACTACGCCGATCCATTCGCTAGTGGAGACAGCGACAGCAGCGGTTATGTCTCCGCTGGTCTTTCAAAGGCCTGTGAGCTCGCAAACAACATTGGCATCGACACTGCTACTGAACCAGTAATGGTCTGGCTCGCACAGCGAAAGGATGGAAAGTGGGAGAAGAAGCTTCTTTTTGAAGACGATGGAAAGAGACTGAGGTCTGCGGCTACAGCTGTGTTGATTGGTATTGACCCAAAGCTTGAGGGGGGTAAGAAGAAGGGTTGGTTGTTTGTCACTGGATTCTATTCACAGCATATAGCTGCTGTCAAGGTTGATCTATGATGGCCTCCTGTTGGTGGTGGCAACGGATGAGGCTCATCACTAGCAAATATTGTATCAAGAACTGATAAGGCAAATACTTTAATCGGTTATTGATTGGAAGACGGAGAATTTTGGCGGGTTACGGAAACTTGTCAAAGGCCGACATATACGCACAAGGGCCATGTCAAAGGCTTGTTACGTCATCCATAATCTAGTAGATGATAGATAAAAATCCGAACCTTTGAGATCCAATCCATGCCAATTCAATTAATATTAATTCTTATTTCATCCAGTGTTTGAGCAAAAATGTCTAGAGTTGAAATCATCTCTATCTCCACTGCCTTGATGGCATCGGGCGGTATCGCAACCCTCACATTCTTCGACGTACCAGAGCTACAATCTCAGCCTGCTTCTCGGTCTCTACCCTCTATCGGATGGCTGTTCAGTCGGGGATCACACGTATTCCCATCAGCCTCACTTCTATCAACCATTGGCTTTATATACTCTGCATCCTCTAGTAACTTCCCAGGCACCGGTCCTCTATACGCTGTCTCAACCAACACTGTCAAAGCCAATACATTCTTAACCGCTGCGGCTCTAGCATTTAACATCGCGCCGTTTACTCAACTCATGATTCCTACGAACTTCACGCTCATCAAGGAGAATAATAAACTTGGTGGGACGAGGAGTGAAAAAGCGTCTGAGTATGACGCATCCACGGGCCGGAGTGCTTGGGAGTCTGTTAAAGGAACGGATGAAGGATTCGAGTTCGCGGACTTAAGCGGTCCTCAGGAACAAACGGAGAGGGAGTCCACGGTAGAGGAAGATGAAAAGGTCCGTGAGTTGCTGGAGAGGTTCCGGTGGTTGAACCTCGTGAGGGCCGTGCTTATTGGCGCTGGAGGAGTTGTTGGTCTCTATGCTGCGACCAGCTAATGGCTTATGAACCTTGTTGAATGATAGCTATCTCACTTCGTTCTGATCTCTCTCAGTTTGCACGGTATTCTCACGTATTGTATGTGCAGGGTCGAGGCGTTAAAAGATTATAAAATCAAGATGATGACTCTCCAAACTACCAGGTCCTCCATTAGCTAGTGGCATACTGAATTCACAGATGTAAAGAAACACCGCCAAAACCATTCATAAAATATTCACCCCAGCTACCAACTAAAAATCAACCCGCAAGCGTTTTCATACCACCGAGGTTCACGCCCCTCCAACCAAGGTCCATCACTTAGGCAGAACAGCCTTTCCAGCAGCTCGAGCCGCCTCAAGAGCTCCTTGCAAACCATACTGAGAGTAAACACCGTTAATGCGCTGTGTCGAATTGAGGTTTTTGACAACCACAATCTGGAAGCACGTAGCCGAACCTTGACGGGATGCGATGGTGGAATAAGCCAGGAAAATCTCCCAGATCTGCTCGAGTTAGCTATTTCGTCACAGATTGAGTAACCAGGGATACGTACGCGGAACCACCGTACGCCATATTTGGCTTTGACCTTTTCAGCATTTCCAAGCCAGTTTCTGTACCATCGCCATAGTGTTCCGGAGTAATGAACGCCAACAGTGTCAACACTGGGCCAGTTAGTGAATACCTTTAAGAAGTTAAAGTAACTTACCTCTTGACCTCGAATCCAGCGCTTTCAAGACATCCAACGTAAAAGGACAACGGCGTCGATGCATCAGCCCCAGGGAAGATATACTTATTCAAGAACAAGCCCCAAATGAAATCCTCATACTGCCACGCCTTTCTCAACCCCGACAACTGCACATACATGGCCCCATCATCCTCCAGCATCTCATAACACTGACGAAAGAACCCCGTCAACCGCCTCACGCCAACATGCTCCGCCATCTCAAGCTGCGTGATCTTATCAAACTTTTGCTCCGGAATATCACGATAATCACAGCATAAAAGTCTACTCTGCTCCTCGCTCACACCCGCTTTTCTCAACCCATCGTTTCCCCACTGGACTTGATTCCTCGCGAGAGTAACACCCGTGACGTTGGCGCCGTAGTTCAAGCTCGCGAATTTGGCCAAGGTACCCCATCCGCAGCCAATGTCGAGAACTCGGTCGCCGGGCTTGATGTTGACTTTTTCGCAGACGATAGCGAGTTTGTTGTCTTGCATTTCTTCAAGTGTTTCTTCGCGGTCGGGGTCTGAGATTATGCCGGAGGTGTATATCATTCGTGGGCCCAGGAACCAAGCGTAATGGTCGTTTCCGCTGTCATAATTCGTGCGAACTTGCTCTTCATCCTGCGAGCGCAGATGAAGAATGACATCGGGGAAGAAAGTGAATAAAATGTAGTTAAACGTCTCGCTGGTGAAATTAAACGTCGCCCAATCATGTCGATACTCAAATACTTCGAGGGCGTCGGCGTTAAGATCGACCTGGCCTGTGAAGTAAAGCTCAAAAAATTTACTCATGGGGACTTTATGCCGGCCTGTATATCGCGCGCGAAGCTGGTCGGTTTTGAAAGTGAGATAGAACTCGATCGGTCGGCCGGGCAAATGGACTTTATCGTTGATTCGCGGGCTCAATTTGGACATGAAAGTCCAAATGACGACTAGCACAGGGACAGTGGTGAAGATGGCGAGGAAAAGTGCAAGCTTAAACCCGCCTCCGAGTTTCCATGAGAGCCATTGGGGAACGCCGTAGAGAGCGACACCGAGGAAGATGTTGGACCATTGTTCGTATCCGGGGCCGTCGGCTGGGAGGGGAGCGTTTTTAATAGCGGGAGACTATTCGCAATAATTAGCAGACATGACACTGCGCAATGGGAGAAGACTTGCATTGGTCAAAGGAACGCCCGGATTCTTGCCAGTAGAGAGTACGTCAGCGGGCGCTTTGGGTGTCGGGATAAAGTCAATATCGCTACTCAAATGAGCGCCTCCATTCTGCTTCAGGGCCATGGTCACCGACTCATTCACCCGAAAGCGTACGAAATAAAGAACGTAAGAATGAGGTGAGAAGAATGAAAGGATAAACACGACATTAAGCGGTCAAGCAACCCTTTTAATCGCACGGCATGCTGAGCTGATACATCAAGCCACCTCGAAATGATGTGAGGCCCCGCCGCATCCGGGCCTCAGGACGTGCGTGCATTGCATCCCTGCCCAAAGGCGAAAGGAGAAGCCAGAATGTAACCGAAATGAAGAGGGATATCATGAAATTGGGACGCGTAATTGGATGCCTCTGCAGCCTGCAGTGTATTCTGGTGCCTATCGTTTTTATTCTGTAGCCTAATTTATTGGCATTTGGGTATGCCACGCTGCGCTGCAATTATCCCTGGTGTGACGTAGGCGGGCGGAAGATATCCCCGGGCCCGAGACAGCTGCAGTGGCGCATTCTGGGGAGATTTGCACGTGCTTCTGTGCTGATTATGGTCAGAAGGTTTCACCTGAGACCGTGTCTCTTTGCCGACAACTAGGGAGAGACGTGCCATAGAGCTGGCGTGCTGAAAAGTACCAAGACCTTGCTGTGCCCCTACAAGTAGACCTGGAAGACAACGGTTTCAGGGAGAGATGGAGCCAGGCTGGCACGCGGGAGATCGGCGCCAGGCACCATGGTTCTGACACGCTGCGCTAAACTCTATCTTGAAACTTTGACATAGAGTCACGAAAGCATATGGCTGTGAAAAGAATGTGAGACAGCATCACCACATGATGTTTGAAAAGCAAAAGAAATGGCTTCAAGGATACTATATTAAGAAAACCCTCGCTTACACTTATTAGTTTTGTATTATTCGTTGGTTTCATTGACGCGAACTATTCCTTAGGCTAGAAGTGTATGGAACTGTTGGTGATGTTCAATGAAACAGATGATATGCGTCACAGCCAAACTACGGGTGCTAACAAGATCCAGGACACTCGGATTCTGAACCACATATCTTTGCATCAATATTGACACTTTTAACCCGTCTTGGTGATGGCATCTTGATAGCCTATATCCCGATTTGAAAGCATCGTTGACGTAGAGGAAAGCTTACCACTTCCTCAGCCAATGATCAAATTTGCAGCGGAACCTTGTTACGATAAAATTGACAACGGCAATGTATGCAGCAGATAAACTTTCAATGTTAGCACCTTTACCTTTCAGAACGTATTTGCATCTTCTTAAACACACTATAAAAGGCCCTGCCTCTTCGCCATTCCCTTTACAACATTCTTCCGCGACAAGAAACACCAAATCCTTCATTACTTCACAATGGATGCATCTCACCAAACTCCAGTGCAGACAATGCTATGCACAGACGAGCAACTCGACTACCTATTTCACCATCTCATCTTACCCGCCAAGTTACCAGGGCATGATGATACCTTAGCATTAAACGAGGAATTCCTCATCAACTTCGTCATCCAAATCCTAGCGCGTTTCGGGGAATTATCAGGCGATGATGATGACCCTGTAGCAAAACACTGCATCTCCATGTTGAAGAACACACGAGATGCTCGAGATTCGAACGGGTATCTGGATTCTAGAAGCGTGCAGAACTCCTTGAAGAGACTTTCAGAACAGGGTAAGTTCTGTAGCAAACCTTAATCAATCCCATTACTGACGCAAGAACAGCGGACGCCACCTCAATGTATCATATTACGGAACAGAATGCAGGTTTGATTATTCGAAGATTAGAGAGCTCATATTCTTTACAGACCTTTGAGCTCTCTCCTACTAACAAAGCAACTATGACGACGAAAGGTCGCCTTATTCGCGAGTTCCCCGCCACCGTAACAGAAGTCTCTGCCAAAGACTTCAACAATTCCTCATTTCAAGAGGTCTTGACCAAGACTCTTGTCAAGATGAGTCATCAGGCTGTTGCAGAAATGCAGCCCCAGGTCAAGAAGGCTCAGCAGATGCACAATGAGGAGCGCGATACAACAGATCCTCGCATCGTCACGGAGCTGTTAACAAGTTTTCTGCGAGGTGCTGGGACACCTGGTGAGATCAAGGCAATTCAGAAGAGGACGCGTGAAGAAGTTTCGTGGAATAATAGTAGAGATCCTTGGACGAGATCACCGCTATGGCTTCTTCTTCGTGTTGGCCTTCAACTCACCATGACGTGTCATCCACAAGGATCACTGCACCTTTACAAGCGCTTCATGGTGTTCTTGATAGCCCAAGCTCTTAAAATTGCCTGTGAAAAGTCGTCATCTAGTGAGATGATCCACTTGATGATTGCCAAGATCTCGAGGCGACTTTGCAAGCTTGGGGATATTGAGGATGGAGCATGGCTTCACACTATCAGGGATATTGTCTCATCGGCCTCTGGAAATCTGAAGAAGAGATGGATCAATATCCAGAGACGAAACGAACAGCCACTTGACTTCAATGCGCTGGCCGAGTTCAACTACGAAGAACATACCGCCTTTTCGTTGCCTGAACTTGACACCTTCCTCGCAACTATCCCCCGGCGACAACATCTACTGACAACAAAGGAATTTAAAGCCAAGCCCATCGCTTTGGCCCTTGAGCCTCTTACCCTTCCCACTATCAATGGTTCTGTCAATAACGACAGCAAATCTTTCGAGCTCGCAGCCGTCGAGACCTGGGTACAGGGTAACCTCGACACATGGCTTGAACACCACTTAAGCAGCGAACAATCATGCCACGGTCTGAAGACACTGCTTGAGCATTACCACATGTCTGCGGAGAGATGGTATACAGGTCGTCCCGAGGGAATGTCGAGAATGCTTCTTACCCTTGGTGAGATCTGGGTAGCGATCGATAAGATGGCTATCCACCACAACCCCTTGATGTTGAAGTATCGACATGAGATTCCTCGAGAGGTCTTCAGCGATCTCTTACTTCATTCAAAGAGTGACATGGAGCGTTTAAATCGGTTAGAGGAATACCTCGAAGATCCATCTGGGAAACTAAAGCTATCGGCACTCTTATCCTACGGCCAACGACTATCCTTCGCCGTTGAGTACTTTCGACAATCACCCAAGCTCCAAGCGAAGAAAGAGCAGATCGAGCGCAATGCACAACGAGATCGCGATAAGAAACTAAAGCAGTTTCGGGAACTCAAAGCAAAGTACGACGCTATTATGAAGAAATACGACGACATGCAATGCGAGCAGGTCCTCCAAGTTCAACACGACGTGGAGTATTACATCCATCCCAAGAATAAATGCAGACGCTGTGCTCTCCCCGCCAAAGTAAAGAAGCTCAAAATCGCGCCTCATGAGTGGCCTCTTCCTGCAGATGAGCTTGAGGCCCAAACTTCTGTTTTCGAGATGGACGTCCCCGTCACTTTTGCCGTATGGCGAGATGCTACAGTTTACTTCCTGGATAACATCTTGAGATTTGAATCATCTAGCGCTGGAGACTATCCCCGTGCATCCTTCCCTTTGACGACATATAAACCACTGAGTCCCTGGTTTGAATCACAACGGCATAGAGTACAACTCCTCTCTGAGATTAAACCGCACTCTCAGACACATCGCAACCAGAAATCTATCGAAACATGTACTGAGGCTGATGTCTGTCTTAACAACGGTCTTCGCTTTCAGTATCATGATAGCTCTAGAAATATCTTTCTGTCTACCTTCAAACCAACGACAGATATCTCAAAGCGCTGCACCATCAAGCTTCCAAGCAGAGCTCATGCTTTGCAGAGATTCATGGCTCGGACATGGCGTTGTGAAAACGGCGAAACACCCAACCAGGCTATCGCGAGTCAGTCGGAGTGTCCAGAGTATATGTCCCTTGGAGAGTTTAAGGCTTTAGCTCTTTTGCCGTATGGATATCGACTTCAGTGGATGAATATCCTTACGCAGCTCGCTATGCCGACGGTTGACTTCAATAAGCCTGAGACTGCGTTATTCCTGCTTCAGATGATGCTACAAGCTGGTCCGTTTCACAAAGACGAGACGACAAGGCAAGCGCATACTCGACCGACAGAAGTGGAATTCGGTTCGCAGTTGCTGAAGTACTTGAATGAAAGCGTGTCAAGAGTTCAGGAGAATTGGGAGTCGTACACATCACTTTGCTCTTTCACCTGTTTGACTACCCGCCTTCTTGCCATTGCAGACAAGCCTCTGTCAACGCAAATTCTGGAACTCATCACACGATGCCGAAAGATCTCATACAAATGGGTGATGCATCTTTTGACAAAGGTCCAAGATATTGAGCATCGTACGCAACGGAAGGAGTTTCTCGAGGCGGCAATACACACTGCCCTTGTTTGCATCGAGACGTTCAATTTAGAGGGTGAACACTTTGAACAGGTGTTGGCCGATGAACAGCAAGCGTCTATACTATTGGAAACCTCGATCATCATCCATAACAATGCCGACCTTCAACATCTGCAGGGGGATGCACTGTATGGCATTATGCTCGACCGATATGAAATGACAATGCATAGAGCCCTACCTATTCTGGCGAACGAGATAGTCTCTAAGGGAAGTTTAAGTCTCGATTTAGCCATTAAGCGACGATGGCCTGATTTTGTACGAACCGGTGAATGGTCCTCAATCTCGGATCACTGGGTCACGACAGCTACTGGAAAGCTCCAAGTTCATATTAGCCTTCTCACAGGACAATTATTGGTCAATGGATCGCCCGTATCACGACTCCCTCGACAGTATGAGACTCATCGAGAGTATCAGAAGCTATTCGGGTCTGCGACTATGGAAGTCATGCCGAGCAACCTGCCGGGTATGAGCTTCTGTGCGACGAAAATGTTTCACGGGTATACAGTTCATCTTGGTATACAGACAAAGAAGCGCGTTGATGACCTTCTTGTACGTCTTTCCAAGAAGGGCTCGACGTTGGACTTGATACCATTGAGGACCCTCCAAGATCTTCTCCCTGACATCCTCGCTGATAATCACGTTCATTGGCTTGAGGAAGCGTCTGGAGATGTTGAGTTCTGCCACGTCACTGACCCTTGGCCAAGCAAGAATATGGAGAGTTGACACTTAAGAAAGTCCACTGACACATGGAAGCTATCACTTGGTAAGGAGAGCGTGCTCGTTTCTCCATGGAGTGAGCTTGGGCAGTATATTTCGAATATCTTCTCACGTCTTCAGCCTGCTTCGGACCTTCATCTGGTTCTCCACCAAGAAAGCAAGGAACTTGAAATAAAGCTGCCAAAAATTCATCTTGAGTTCACAATCAGGTCAGGGACATCAAACATCAAGTCTCGACAATTCCGCGATATGGAGGTTGATCACGATCAGGCCATTGGAACTCTCATCGGACTTGAGAACAAACTCGTCCTACGACATTCCCATGACTCTCAAGTCAGATCAGCCATCATACCAGAAGGAAACGTGAGCTGTCGAATGTCCACTGGGCACGGTGTCGAGAATCACGCCGAGGTTTCTCTTGACCGTGAAACGGCTAGTCGAGTTCAAACTTACAGACTAGATCCCCTTCTTCGCAGAATCATACCCAACGACAAGGTAGAAAGCAAAGTGTATCTTGCATACCTCCACGCTCTAACATCATACTGCCTCCAGGATCCCTTCATCCAGCGCACAGGAACTGAAGAGGCTCTCACTATTCTTGGTTCTGCCTCAATCAGAGCACCTACGGCCTTCTCCCAAGTGGCGTATACCATGCTGTCAAATATCGCCCAGTTATCGCCGAAGAGGTCATACTATCCTGCCGATCAACGGGAGATGCAGAACATCCGGTGGCGGAATGACTTGAGCTACATATTCCAAGATGACAGATTTGGGAAGGAAGTTCGAAACATTTTTGAGAAATATCGCGAAGTCCAGTTTCTGTTTCCCAAGAACCCTCTCTCATGCTTAGAACAACACCGTTCGGTAGATGCGTTGGTGGATCGCGCCATTCTTCGAACATCTGGAAATCGAGTCTCTGGCTTTGGCGCTGAATGCTTCACGACTAAACATGATGTCAATTACGCATCAAGGGAGAAGAGTAAGTCATCAGAAAGGTCTACACGTACCGTAGAGATGGCGTACCGAGTCTACAACAGGTCTGGCACCCTTTCGAGACCGGTATCTGGCAGGCTTGGCCACCGTCTCTTCAGTCTCATGACGGGCGACGAACGCGTCCACACCAGGGAGATCTTGCCGAAAAGCAGAATCGACTACGACTCCTCTTGGCTCCAAGGCCCCGCATCATACCTATCGTCTGTATGGTTTCAGCTTCACAATTCATTCAAGAAGTCAGTCACCTGGTTCGACAAGTTCGAGCTGATGATGTGGATGGCCACAATGTCGTATTCCCCAGAGTACGATGCACAAGTCGGCCAGGCGCTGCTGTTGCTCACCCAGTTCCGATCCTTAGCTGACTGCAGACCACCCGCTGCATCATCATACAACCTATCAGCCGGATGTCACATCCGGGACGAGGACCTGCGTGCCGCGGTAGCACCGTATGTAGTCAGTTTCGCAAGCAGCCCTGACGCTATATCTGCTCGTCGTTTCGACGAGAAGGGCAGCGAGGTTGGGCAAAGAAGAAGAGAAGACTACGGAAAGAAGAGCTTCAAAGCTGTTGATAATTTTGTAAAGCACCTGAAACGACAATGGCCTACAGATGATCCAGAAGAGCCGGAAGATCCGAACATGGAGTTGGCGTCGTATATCAAGATGGGACCTGCCGTGGAAAGTGCCTTTGGAAAGTGGAACCAGTGGCTGAAGAACCTTCGCTTGAAGCAGCATCTGGAAATGGTTGCTTCTTACATGAGAGAGGCACCGTCGGGCGAGTTCATACAAGTACCACCAGCACTACCAAGGACGGTAATTCCCACGAAGAGATCAGTCTCGAGATTTGTGGCTACTTCAGACCTGTTCTCGTCATCAGGCGTGTTGCACCACAAGACTCCTCCAGCATTAAGTCGACTGCTCATGAACTCAGAGAGGGACAGACATAGCAGCAAGCTCAGTGGTATCATTGACAACCTTGATTCAAAAGCCCAGCTTGACTATGAGCACAGGTATCTGAGAGAGCTGAAGGATAGTCTTTCAAGCTTAGACGGCCATGTTGAATACGAGCTGAAGATGGACCAGCTTCAAAAGCTCCCGGGCCTACTCCTGCACCACTTGGAGAAATGCGAATCTCACCTAACAAGGCTTCACGAGTATCTAATCTCTTCCCTCTCGTCTTCAAGCACACTCCCGCACACAACGTCTCATGTCCTTGAAGAAGCCGGATTCCTTCCTAGGATGTCACCTACTCAGATCCTGCAACAGCTGAGACCACCGCAATGGAAGAGTCTTTCTGCGGGATGGAAAGAAAGCTTAATTCACTACGGAATTGCCATCACCGCAATGCAACGAGCCAAACGCCTAATTCGGTTCCAGTCCAGTCACGTTGATCTCATTCGCGAACTTGAAAACGGTGGCCATCAAAGCTGGAGCCCCTATGACCACCCAGAGTGGCTACTACTGGAATGCGAAAGCGAAATTATGATTCGCGATGTTCAGCAGCAGATCGCTGAACAGATGATCAATCCTCCCGAGAACCAAAACTCAGTAATGCAGCTCAACATGGGCGAAGGAAAGTCAACAGTCATCGTGCCCATCGTCGCTACAGCTCTTGGAGATGGATCGAAGCTGGTTCGAGTCATTGTCGCAAAGCCACAGGCGAAGCAGATGCATCAGATGTTGATCTCGAAGTTATCAGGACTCCTTGATCGACCAGTGTATTTGCTCCCCTTCTCTCGAGACACCAAGATGGATCTCCGAACGGCAGATGCTATCCAGCGTCTGATGAAACGATGTATCGAGGAAGGTGGTGTGTTAATGGTTCAGCCCGAGCATCTACTTTCGTTCCAACTGATGGAGGTGGAATCTCGAATCAGGGGAAATATGGAAGTCGCGGAAGCAATGTCGCAGACAAGGAATCTTTTTGGTCGCTCCTGTCGAGATATCGTTGACGAGAGTGATGAGAATTTCAGTGTCAAGTTCGAACTCATCTACACTCTTGGAAAGCAACGGCCGATTGAACATAGCCCTGATAGATGGGTTGTCATCCAAGAAGTCATGGGCCTCGTTGCCAAAGCTGGAGCGGACGTCAAGTCCAAGTACCCACATTCCGTTGAATTCGACGCTCGGCATGTTGGGAGATATCCCCGCTTACGAATCTTACGCCCTGATGCTGAAGCTGAAATCTTCAACCGTGTCACCGAGGCAGTTTGTGATACTGGCATGGCTGGGTTCCCTATTGCACGCCAGCCCAGACGCATCCGAGATGCAGTTCAACGGTACATCTCCCAGCCTGAGCCAACAGCTGCCGACATCGAAGCCGTAGAGACAAGCTCCCTCTGGAACGAAATGACAAGCAGAAACATTCTTCTCCTCCGTGGACTCTTTGCAGGAGGAATCCTTTCATTTGCACTGGGAAGTAAGCGGTGGAGAGTGAACTACGGTGTCGATCACAACAGAGAGAAGATGACCAAATTGGCGGTTCCCTTCCGAGCAAAGGATAACCCAACTCCGCGATCTGAGTTCAGTCAGCCTGACGTGGTGATTACGCTCACTTGTCTGAGTTATTACTACAGCGGTCTTGACGATGAGGCCTTGTTCGCGGCGTTTGAGTTGCTTAGTCGATCGGACAATGCCACACAGGAGTACCAGGATTGGGTCAAGACTGCACCATTACTACCGCAAGCCTTCAGGAACCTAGAAGGAGTCAACTTGAGGGATCGGGTGCTGTGCACTACGGAGATATTTTCTCACGTACGATATTCTAAAGCAGCGGTTGATTACTACCTGTGTCATCTGGTATTCGCGAAGGAATCTAAGGAATTCCCACACAAGCTTTCAGCTTCCGGTTGGGACCTTGGTAAGAAGAAGGATAATCCCACTACAGGATTCAGTGGAACCAACGACTCGCGATATGTTCTGCCGCTTGACGTCAAACAGCTCGACTTGCCGCAGCAGAAGCATACAAACGCGCTTGTCCTGGAATACCTACTCCAGCCAGAGAATGGAATCTCATTGATGCCCCAAGAAGCAAAGGGTACCACTTTAGAAACCAGTCTCCTTCTGCAGATGGTTTCCAACATGAGCCCTAATACCCGAGTTATTCTCGACGTTGGCGCCCAAGTCGTCGACCTTACCAACCAGGAATTCGCGAAACAATGGCTAGCCTGCTACCAGGATCATGACTCCACACAATCTGTGGTGTTCTTCAACGACAACGACGAAATCGTTGTTATTGACCGTTCCGGCAAGATCGAAGACTTCCAGACATCCCCGTTCTCCCAGCAGCTGGATAGGTGTCTTGTTTTCCTGGACGAGGCACATACCCGCGGAACAGATCTGAAGCTTCCTGCCAACTATCGTGCTGTGGTCACTCTTGGTGCTGGTCTGACGAAGGATACGTTGGTTCAAGCTTGTATGCGGATGCGAAAGCTTGGGAAGGGACAGACAGTGGAGTTCTGCATTCCTTGGGAGATTGAGCAGAAGATCGTTCAGCTCAAGGGTGAAGGTGCCTCTAGCAGGGATGGAATCTCTGTCTCTGATGTCCTTTGCTGGGCTATCACTGAGACATGTCTTGACCTGAAGAGGGCTATGCCCCTGTGGCTTACACAGGGTGTTAGGTTCTCCAAGCAAGAAGCCCTCTGGTCCCGTCTCTCTGACAATGATACCAAGTCTGACGAGTTTCTCGAGGAGGAAGGGCAGAGCTTGACTGAGAGGTATCGTCCCGAGAAAGGTCTCACAAACTGTTCTTCACTCACAGAAGAGCTGAACGACTCCGTCGCAAGAGTCTTCAAGTCCCGGTGTGAAGACTTTGGTCTGGAAAGACTTCACACTTGCTCTCTGCAGGAAGAGCAAGAACGAGAGCTGGCGCCAGAGACACAGCACGAGCGCCAAGTCGAAAAGGTCCCTGCCCTGAAGCCAGACACCCATAGTGTCAATAGGCTTCTGCAGGAGTGGATAGCAGATGGCTCGTTCCCAGAGTCATCTACCGCCTTCCGAGCTGTCATGAAACCCGCGTTTCAGAGTCTGAATAAGACGTCGGCAGCTGTCCACTTTGACGTCAAGGAGTTCCCGGAGACGGTATGGGTGAGTATGGACTTTGCCCATACTGTTAAAGGTGTGTTTAGTGGGAAGAGCTACTCGGACTCTTATCAACGACCTGTACAGTGGGTGTTGACTGGTAAGAATGAAGAGGGTGCTTCTCGAATGGTTGTTATAAGTCCATTCGAGGCCCAGCACTTTCTACCTCTTATCGAAGAGTCAGAGCATGTTGCTCTCCACCTTTACGCGCCGAGGGTCAACCTTGGCTTTCGACCGCTGGACGACCTTCAACTCTATTACGTGGGGAAGAAGATCATCGAAGAGATACCGAGAGACATCATTACGTTTCTCAATATTTTCGCTGGACAGCTTTACCTCTCGTCATATGATGACTACAAGCTCGTCTGTGACTTGCTTGGTTTGGCGTGGGACAGTCCGAACGACAGTGCGGTGCTTCGGGCTGGTGGTAGTGGGAGTCAATCTGGTTTCTCCAAGAGCCCTGCGACGTTTCTGAAGGAGCTCTTGGGCAAGGTCAGGCATGACTGTGGAACCATTGACAAGACGGATATGGGAAGGGTTATTGAAGGAATGCGCTTGGTTGAGGGTGAGTTTAATAGTAGGCATGCTATTTAGTTTCTGTGTGTGGTATGTGGTTTATTGTATGCTCAAGTCAAATTCAAAGTATAGACAAATAGAAAAGAAGTAGAAATCAAGGTTGAATATCATCTTTGTTTCAGGGTCGTCACAGGACACATAATGAGAACTCATGAGTGCAATTGTGAAGCTAGAAACACGATCTTATTCACACCGTGCTAGATAATGAAAAGCGTCCTAAATAGGAAATCAATAGGGCTGAAATAAACTTCTTTGTCGGGAAGGAGGTCTTGAAGCGAAAAGGAAATTAATTACCGAGCAGTTATCACTTGAAGTGGAGGATTGCTTCGGTCTTTTCTTACAGGCTCAGCCAATGGCGTGCAGCGCACTGTGCACTGGAAGGGCTGGTTTAGTTGACCCCACTCTTGGGCTCTACGCCTGCAATCTCACTCACTCGTCAGACTGCAATACATAAATTGAGAGCAGAAAGTATTAATTATATGGGTCATGGAGAGCAGCCATGTAGTAGGTCTCTCGTCCTCACGGTAGCAAGTATAGCAACAAGCATGTACATTAAAGGCAGTCAATCCAGACACCCAGTACCCAGGTCAATGTTGGGCTGCCGAGATTCATATAAGGGTAGTTCTCCCCCATGTCGGGACCCGGTCTTGTGCAAGGTGCCATCTGGTCTCCCGCATAGGCCAAGTTTGTCCTATTGCCTCTACCAATGCTCAGCAGTCTCGAAGAAAATTTCAGGATATCCACTCGTTCTTCTCGCCTTATAAGTCTGGTTCAATGGGAACCAGGTCACATAGGCTAGCGCTTACGTCTGGAGACGTTAGCATGCAGCTAATTGTAGATCCCGAGCGTAGATGCGTCGAAGCCCTCAATTGGCTATTTTAGAACCAAAAGCGGCCTTACCATTAGGAGAGCGGCCGCCGAGTTGCATCGATATGCGGTAAATTGGCAGTCAGCAATTAGTCAGCCCGAGAAGTGCAAAGTCATAATCACAAAATACAAACAAGGCGAATCTCAAGTTGTGTTTCTTTGATGTTGAGGAGATCGCTGAGCGAAAATGTGGCTATTGAACCTTTCTCTGGCACGAGTGGCAACTCTGGCCATCCTTGCCGTTTGCCTGCACTTCATCACCAAGACCCTACTCCGACCATCCCTCTCGAAGTTACGACATCTTCCAGGACCGAAAGTGAGTTTTCCGCTGCCCGAAACAGGCCCCATGTTTGCAATATCTTCAGTATACTAACTTCACAAGAACCACCAATTCTTAGTCGGCCATGCCTTGCGCATTCTTCGTGGGTCAGGACCAAATGATTTGTATCTCCAGTGGATGCGGCGTTGGCCGAACGCACCGTTCATACGGAGTCTCTCTTGGCTCAACTCGGAGGTTCTCCTCGTCAATAACATAGAGGCATGTCGAGAGGTCCTCCAAACCAATGCTTACCGCTTCGCAAAGCCGGCATTCTTTCATACGCTTGTTGGAGAATTTCTGGGTGTCGGTCTGCTGTTCAGCGTTGGTGACCAGCACAAGCGCTTGAGACGCATTATTGCAAGTAAGACCTCTCTTTCGTGTTAGTTATGGTCATGACTACTAACTGTAATAGGGCCTCTATCTCGTCCAAGGATTCGGAAGCTATTCCCAGTGTTTGTGACATACTCTCGCAAGTTAAACAACGACATTGATGCTGCCATCCAACATAGCAGCAACGGTGTGTTGGAAAGTACGTATACACTTGGTGAATTCGCCTCTCGGTCATCATCTGACAATCTCGTACCAATCGAAGATCTGTTTACAAGAGTGACACTTGACATCATCGGTGTTTCGCTAGTTGGTAAAGAACTTCGCGACTTTCGATCAAAGGTCTCGCCTTTATCATTTGAGCAATGCTACAATGGTATATTGGCACAGCCACTTGCTGGCCAGATCATAAGCTTCATCAATCCCTTCATCCCACTCCGTTGGCTTCCTGTGTCCGCAAATCTGAACTTTATCAAGGCCAAATCTGCTCTGAAGGGCATGATGACAGAACTAATCGAGCAGCGGACATCCGAGGTAGCAAAAGCAAAGGAGTTGGGTACAGACAGTGGACTATCGGATGATTTGTTGACGAGAATGATTGAAGCAAGTTCTGTTGAGAATCAGAAGTTGTCTAAAGATGAGTTGATCGATATCGTGCGTAACTGCCCTGACCTCCATCGGTATATCACTGACCGGAATCGCAGACTATGCAAGTCATCGCGGCTGGTCATGAGACTACATCTAGTGCTCTTTTATGGACAACATATGCCCTTGCCAAAGATCAGAAGTCTCAAAATCGATTAAGGGCTGAGATCTACAGCATAGATGCCACCGACATGGCCGCCAAGTCGATAGACGAACTTCCGTACCTCGAAAACGTCATTCGAGAAGCTCTTCGCGTGTACTCGCCTTCTCTAATCATCCCGTGGGAGGCACTTGAGGATATAGACATAGCAGGCGTCAAGATCCCAAAAGGGACCACGGTTCAGCTCATTCCAGCGATGACGCAACTGAACCCCGAGATCTGGGGTCCCGACGTGGAGACCTTCAACCCCGATCGATGGGACCATCTTTCTGACGATGCTTTGAGCCCGTATGCCATGGAGACCTTCTCGAACGGGCCTCGAATGTGTCCCGGAAAAGCTTTGGCTTTGCTGAGTATGAAGATCTTGTTGGTTGGGTTGATCAGAGACTTTAAGATCGAGAGTGTTGGAGATGAGGAGGTGGAGTTCAGAAACCCGAGCTTGACCTTGAAATCGAAGATGGAACTTCGATTTAAGGTACAGCGCGTGGGATAAAAGGAGTCTCATGATTAGCAATGACCTAGGGAGGGTTTGACATAGTGGAATAGGGACAGCAGCAGGTGCATATGCAACACAACAGATCTGGTCGTTCAGAGACCCAATGCTACAATGCATAAGTCTCATGCAAGTTAATACTGAATACTGCCGTCTCACCGCTGATATAAGTCTCCCTTCTCGCAGGGCCTTGCCATGAGATGCCATCAATCATGTTCTAGACCATCAATGCAGCGAAAGTTCAGTTAGTACGTTGGATCGGAAAAGAGTAAAATGCATAATTGAGAGAGGCGATATTTCTGACAGGGATAAAACTATTGAAGCAGAAGTTCTCAGTATGTTAACTAAAATTAGAAGCTGAAAACATCAAGTCATCAACAGACCGCCAAGTCATCAGCTAGTGCTGTAATTCCAAACAGACCACTACCAAATTAAGCATCAATTCTCAAGCTTATCTGCGGGCCAGACCGCCTTGGCGAATGCTTATGCCAAAGCTTGTTGGTAACTGCCAATATTCTCAGCACTAATGTCGGACCATCAGAAGTCCCATCAGCACTACGCATTCAGCTCGAAATATGAAACCCGTTTGGGAAGCTTTATTTTTCATAGTGAAACCTGACTTCTTTATAACACCTGGCCAGGTCATCACTTTTGAATATTCCATTCACTTATCTTTTTTTTATCCATAGGCAGCATTCTCCCTTGTTGCTTGCGTGCATCGTTTTCGCCATGTCGGACGCCGGTCGAGAAACTCCAGTGGAAATGAAGCCACTTCCGCAGGCCCAGACTAGACAGAACTTCTCAGGCCTTGACACTCCCCCGAACCAGCAGTACCTGCCCTCGCCTTCGCCTCCAGTAAGTGACGGCATGAATGATAGCAACTACTTCAGCGGTCCCAGGGACCTCCGAGGACATTCCAAATGGCCACTTATCCTTCAACTCCACGGCTCAATCATGCCATCGCTCATCATCCCTCTTTTCCTCGTCGCCTGCTGGTCTACTGCTATAACCGTGATCTCCAAGAAAGTTCACGATCTCAGCGTCAACTCCGTTCTTCTCACTATCCTCGGTTTCGTCGTTGGTCTCAGTCTCTCCTTTCGATCATCAACTGCATATGAGCGTTACGCCGAGGGTCGCCGATACTGGGGAATGTTAGCCACGGCATCGCAAACTCTCGGACGAATCATCTGGATCCATGCTTCGGATACCGGTGCTGATGGTCAAGATACTCGTGAGCTGCTCGTCAAGAAGCTCGGAGCATTAAAGCTCATCGCTGGATTTGCTGTTGCACTAAAGCATACACTTCGATTTGAGCACTGTGCAAGTCAACCTGATATGCAGCCTTACATTGCTCATCTCGACACATTCTCGGGACGTACAACAGCCATGCCAAAGCGAAGAGTTACCAACTTCAAACAGGTGGCCGGTGAATATCTAGGTCTCTCATTCGCTCAGAGTGATCCCCGCAAGCACCTTAAGAGAGCCGAGGAGCATCAGGGTAACCTCCCGCTTGAGATACTGAATCACCTGGCTATTTCTGTCGACTGCCTCGTTGCAAACAAGCAGCTATCCGTCGCCATCCACCAAACTGTCGCGTATAATCACATCACTATGCTGAATGATGTAGCAGTCGGGTGTGATCGAGTACTCAATACCCCTTTACCTATCGCCTACACAATCGCCATCAGTCAGATTACATTCGTGTATGTCATGCTGTTACCTTTTCAGTTGACAGGCCCTCTTGGCTGGATAGCCATACCCGCTACCATCACAGCAGCATACATCATCTTCGGTCTATTATTCATTGGTCAGGAGATCGAGAATCCGTTTGGTCGCGATGTCAACGACCTGCCACTTGAGACTTTCTGCGACCAAATTGCAACCGATCTTGACATCACCGCCTCATTCGACCGCCGTGGTGCTGACCACTTTTTACTTAATGGAACACCGCTGTATCCTGTCAGTGCTGCGCCGGGCAATGCTTGGATGGATAGTAGTGAGGAGAAAATGAGGGAAGCGATCAAGACTAAGCCACATGTTCTGTTCAACTGGAGACGCCAGAGGACTCGTGGCAATACCACGAAGGAGATGGATGGAAACATCGTGTAGACGCTCATCGCATGCCTGACCTAGACACGAGTCAGCTGGTCAGGTCTATGCCAGACAAGACAGGTTGCTTACTTTGAATCACTGTGACAAACCGTTCAAATAGTGATTTTGAATGCAAATCCTCCCCCTTTCTCCATCTTACAGCAGCGTCTCTTGATCCGTGGCCCATTTCACCATCTGTTAGTACCGGTAGTCCTTGCAGGTAACATCAAAAACAACAGGTTAGACAACGTATACAGTGTCATAACATAACATCTTTATGCCTCGAATACAGATGTCCGCGATGTCTCTTTGAATGCTATTCTGGCAATAACCAGTATTAACACATAAAAGAATATGAAGTGTACTGACAGATACGAAAGTATTCTGATTAGGAAGACGACCATGAGATCGGTATTCGTGCTAAGTTGCTCATAAACGCAACCTCTACATCGCTAGTCGGAACTCAGTGCTATTTGCAAATCGAAGACTTGCTTGTAGTCAGATCTCAATATTGCAATCATACGACACTTCAAAGATTCAAGCATGAGTCGGACTGGCTAGAACCTGATGTAAGTACCAAGATCCTGTGAATTAATATTATTATTGCCTATATGTCGATTGCTTTTTTCCTTAAGCTACACGAGCCCAGCTCCTTCGCCTCGTAGCTGCCGTAATGCCACCCAGTCCACGTCTACCTCGTATCCATAGTCACCGAACTGATCTGCCCACTCTGGAACAATGGTAATAGGTTTCCTGGATCCTCCAGCATTTTTATCCTTTCCTCCAAAGTCTCCTCGCCATCCATCATCTCCAATTGTCGATTATACAGTTCCTTGACTTCTTTCCTGGTCGCAATCATCTGCTCACAGTATAATTGACAATAATTCTCCAAACTCTTGATACGCTCTTGCAGTGCTTCTATCACCTGCCAAGCAGCTGAACTGTTCTGATACGAAGCCTTGAGCTGGTTTGCCGCCTCTTCTTGATTCCCTTCCACCGTCTCTTCCAAATCACTAATGCGACCGACGAGATTCTCCAGTTGGTAGCTGCCTTTTTGCTGAACTTGTGCTTCGAGCTCTCGTACTCGTTTCTTGAGAGCTGTGATGTCCTCGCTTGTTTTTAGGGATGTTGATGAATGGAAGCATGAGAAATGGCCGCAGTAACATGTCGCGCCGGGAAGAGATGTGTTGTGATGAAAGCCCATACATCCGCAGCGATGACCTTTAAGTTCCGGTATCGTGAGGATATAACGACACTGGCCTTGCGGTAATTGCGCTGCATCTCCAGGTGGTGCTGAGGCTGATTGAGTGGAACGATGGAGATCATTTGGATGGGGCATTTTTGACGATCGACGAGCACTGCAGTCAGACATTTTGAAGACAAACAGAACGCACAAAAGAAGGAAATCAAAGTAAGCAAAAAGATTGATCAGGCGGAGAATTCATTAAATGGAGGTCATCAGCCATTCCGCCACCAAAAAGGACCACGCGACCCCGCGAACTTGTCGGTTCGGGGTCAAGCCCGAGAGGAGAAGAACGTGGGGGTTCCCAGATGGAGCCCGACGACATGGATATGGTGCGAGCATGGCCCAAAAGGGAATTCTCTCGAGTCATCAATCGGTACTAAACGAACATCCCACGATCTGAGGGGAAATGGGGTTGCAATGCGGATTTAAGCATTGCCGTGGTTTGCCGATGGGCTGAGGGTGTCGTGATATAGTGGTGCAAAGGCATGTGAGGGGAAGCTACATCACGAGTGCCTAGGGCCTATACACAGTCTTAACATTGCGAGAACTGTTTCTATTCATTCCATGGGCTATGCTTATGCTCTACTGAAAGACGAACTCATTTGCTCTGAGCACTTATGAGCCGCTTGTTAATAGCCAACAAGATCGTATACAGAGTCTCAATCGTCGCAACATCAATACCAAGCTCCTTACCCTTCCTAACAGGATACCCCAAAATGACCTCAACCTCCATCGGCTTGCCATTCTCATAATCCGTCCTCATGCTGCTTCCAATAGGCGGCATCGCCAAGATCTTCTCCAGAAGCCTGTCAATCAGTTCATACCCCAAAGGAACACCAAGCGCATTGGCAACATCAATGACTTCCTTCATAAGCTTTCTCGTCATGGGAGTCGACAGGTCTGATGAGCTGAGCCATGCGTGTGTGTCCATGAGTGTAAGAGCAGTGAGAGAGTTCCACGCTGCGTTCCAAACTACCTTCTCCCATCTTTGAACCTGAATGTTCGGGACGATTTGGAAGATAGTCTTTCCGATTGATAAGAGCGACTCAAATTGAGCGAGATGTTTCTTGTCGCATGATTCATCTCCGGCTTCGTTCGGGTACAGTCCCACTTGCATATCTTCGGACGTCGTATGAGCTATGAAGCCAGGCTCTGGTTGCCTTGCGCCAACCCATGTCTGCCGGTATTAGTCACAGAATGAGAAGCCAAGAGAACTCACATACCACGCATGAGATGATGGTTGCGCTCGGGAACTTTTCACGGAAAGCATCCTCGTTCCCGACACCGTTCTGGATGATGACAATCGAGGTGTTATCTCCAACGCCGGGCGCAATGTCGGCAGCAGTACTGAGCTGGTCGACTGCTTTGTTCGTGCATATGATGAAGTCAAACTTTTGGCCAGCTTCGGCGACAGTTCGAAAGACTATGGCCGGGATCAGAATGACTTCATGGCGTTCTTATGTGTTGCATACCTTTGTGAGGTTTCACGTGGTGTTTCCCATGGTTCTGGCTGTCAATTGAGATACCATTGGCAGAGACGGCTTCAAAATTCGATCGGGCGACGACGGTCAGGTGAACATGTTCACTGCGGCTTAAAATGAAAGCATAGAATGACCCGATCCTCGATGAAAGTCAGTCATGATTTGAGTCTCGTGCATGAGAACCTACGCTCCAAGCCCATAGACCAGTACTTCCAATGACTTGTCACTCATCTTGACAATACTTTCTAAACGCGGGGTAAATCAAGAAAGCAGGTTTAGAGATGTAAAAACAAGAGAATCTCATAAAGTTCGCGAATGCTTTTCCGTTTAAGTTTGACCCCTCATTCAGGATTTCCGGGGACTCCATCGCCAAGAGCGTGGGGGTTCAGCAAGCATACCGACCGGAATTGCCGAGCATGTCCTGGAGGTTGGTTACCCCAGATTCAGAGAGCTTAGTGGGATCTCAGAGTAGAACCGAAAGGCCACGAGACCTTGTACAGTGATAGCATGTTGCGACCGAAAGAATTGATCACAAGATGGAACAAGGTCTTCAGATTAAAATGATGTCTTAGACTGCTGTTTACACTATTGCTTCACCACTCTCTAATACTGCCGTCCGGACCATGAAATGTCTTGCACTGCCACGGAGCGGTCTCCTTCGCAATCCTAGCCACCATCTCCTCATCAATCTCAATTCCCAACCCATACCCCGTCGGGGCTTTAACATGACCACCTTCTAGATCAAAAACACTTGGATCCTTGAGATATGTCAAGAGATCAATGTCTCCAGCCTCGGTATTATAGTGCATCCCCAAGCTCATCTCCAAAATGGCAAAGTTAGGTGATGACAGCGCTACTTGAACGGATGCAGCGAATGCAACAGGCCCAAGCGGACAGTGAGGCGCAATCGCCACGTCGTAAGCTTCCGCCATAGTAGCTATGCGCTTTGTCTCTGAAATACCGCCCGCGTGAGCGATATCAGGCTGCAAAATATCCACGCTCGAATCTTCTAGAAATCGCTTGATATCCCAGCGGGTATATAAACGCTCACCGAAGGCAATTGGGATGACAGTCTGGTCAGATAACTTCTTAATAGCTTCAGGATGTTCAACCAGAATGGGCTCCTCAATGAACAAAGGCCTGTGAGGTTCAAGAGCTCGTGCGAGTTGCTTCGCCATTGCTTTATGACACCTTCCGTGGAAGTCAAGACCTGCATCGAGGCCTAGTGCCTTCACCTGTTTGAGCCGCTCGACAGTGCTGTCGAGGGCGGATGGGGAGTCGATCCAGCCTAGATCTTCGGTAGCGTTCATCTTGACGCATGTGAGACCTTGCTCAAGGCGCTTCTTTCTATAGGCTATTAGCATAGGTTGGAAATTGGAGTTGTTGTCGCTACTTACGCGGCGGCTTCGATATCTGACGGGCGATCACCGCCGATCCAGCAGTAGACCTGGACCTTGTTGCGCACTTTGCCGCCTAGGAGCTCATAAATAGGTACTTTGAGATTGCGGCCTGGCAATGTTAGATAGATAATACAAGGAGCATATTTTGGCAAGTTACCTTTCAAATCCCATAACGCGATGTCGATGCCTGAGATGGCAGACATGAAGACTGGTCCGCCACGGTAGAATCCATGACGCCAGAAGGTTTGCCAGATGTTTTCGATATCGCTGCCACGTCCATTAGAACCTCTTCATTATGGCGCTCCGAGATAGCAATGCTTACTTTGCCTCTTGTCCGATGATTCGAGGGATCATCTCATCTAAACATCCTTCAACAGCGAGGTCATGCCCCTCTAACGTAGCCTCACCCCATCCATACTGTCCATTCTCATCAACGACCTTAACCATCAGCCACCGCGGCTTGACGCGGTAATACTTAACAGAAGCGATCTTGGCCATCTTGATTGTTGTGATTCCTCGGCTTGCGAGAGCTGAACAGAGACGAATTTCCCCGACTTTTTAACCGTCATGACTCGGCTTCCCCGCCGACAACCTCTCGGCTAACACGACATCGTCAGATGGGTTTGAACCCCCACGCGAAAAAACAGGTTCTGTGCCCCCCACGAACTAAAGAACTACGTAAATCTGGGGTAACGAGCCGCAAAATGCAGGGTTTATTTCCGTGCTCTGCCTCGGTAAATGCCGTGATTTTTTCCACCATTGCCGGAGTAGGTAGTTGGTCACATTGTCATTAGCTCCATCTGCAGAAATCCTTCTCGCTCCGCGAGTCAGTGGCAGTAACCCCCTCATCATTGCAATTCCGGCTGGTCTACGCCGAACCTCTCCTGAAACGTCTTGCTGTCATAGCTGAAGCAATGTCTCATCCGCTGGCTAGGTCTACACAGAATATGAACTCACCATGGGAATCTTTGTTCATGTTTGCCAGTACGTAGTGATTAATTGTCAACTTAAATCTTATGAGTGAGCAGTAATGCCTTCTTTTGGATCTTACCGTCCCATCCATCCACCATCAACAGTAACTAACTCCCCAGAAACATACAAACTTCCCTTCCCCGCCAAAAACACCGTAACTCCCTTGAAGTCCTCAGGACATCCCCATCTCCCAGCCGGAATCCTCGACAAGATACTCTCAGCCCTCTTCTCATCATTGATCAGCGCCTCATTCATATCCGTAGCAACATATCCCGGCGCAATAGCATTGACATTGACACCCTGATTCGCCCACTCATTACTCAACGCCTTCGTAAGCTGTGCAATTCCACCTTTTGCTGCTGCATACGCGGGGACCGTAAGACCGCCTTGAAAGCTGACGAGGGACGCAACGTTGATGATGCTTCCGCGATGGCCGCTTGCGTCGGGCTTGCGGGTTAGCATGTATGAGCCCAGGTCGCGGCATAAAGTCCAGACTGTTCGGAGGTTGACTTGGAGGACTTCATCCCAGTCGCTCATGGGGAATTGATGCGCTGGATGTCTTCGTTGGATTCCGGCGCAAGTTACTAGGATGCTAACGTCGTGGCCGTCGGCGAGGATGCGTTTACTGAGATTCTCGACTTGTTCTTGATTGCTTAGATCTGCGGTGTACACGGAAGCTTGTCGGTCAAGCTTTTCGATGAATGTCTTCGTTTCAAGGTTCTTTTCGTCTCTCTTGATGAAGTCAGACAGTCTGGCGGGTTGCAGCGGCGCGGAACACTTACCTGAACCAGAATGATATCTGCACCTGCTTCTGCAAGCGATAGGGCCATAGCTTGACCGATGCCTCTCGTCCCGCCAGTAACAACAGCCTTGCGGCCCTTCAAAGAGAACAAAGATTCCAAAATGTTCGTCATGGTTGCTACTCATTCAAAGTACTACAAGTTGAAGCCTGTAAAGTGGTAGCCGAACCCATCAATTCTTCCCTCCTCAAATGACAGTCCACGAACTACGCCCCAGATTTAGACGCCGAACCAGTGTGACATCTAACCCCATAGAACCATGAAGTCAGGAACTTGTCATCTCGTGTGACCCCCACGTCGGCCCGACTCTACTGTCGGCATTCTATCCGTGTCTAAACGATGATCATCTGCGGGGAAGATTCTGGGGTAATCCTCACTGAATAGCATTCTGGGCAGATTCGCATGTCGGACAATAAACACGGGGGAGACAGTGGACCTGAGCAGAGCGTGGGGGGATTGTTTCGCGGGCGCAGGAACGGTTTAATGCCGTCGGTCCGTCGTCATTTTGAGGTTAGCTGATACTTTGGTCGGAGCCGCTGAGCTGCTGGCCTTGGAGCGTGGGGGTAAGCCGATTGAGATCCTACATTCCTGCTAAGCCATGCGGTATGTGAATCAGGAGCTGCACGAGGCAGAACCAAGGTGAATGACCCTCAAATCATAATCAACATATTCTTGCTGATGTCTTGGTGATCCCCAATCGGTATTTGGCTCTATCGGCCGGATCATCCCATGCTGTCAAACTCGTGCATCATTTTAATGCTGAGAGAAATTTAACTTTTGTTCTATTGGCTTGCATTCTGACTTCATACTTCATACTCCAGGTTTGGCCAGTCGGGTGCCTCAGCACATCCGATTAAGATTACAGTCGTGGTGTTCGAATTGTAGGATCATATAATAATTACCTTATCAAGAACACGAGTGATGTACTCCGATGTAATGGTGTTTGGAGAGTAAAGCTTCAAGCACGAACGTACTGCCTCTCTCTCCTCCGTGTATCCTGCAATCTTATCAGTAACCTAAGCTCAACCTCAACAACCGGGAACAACTCGCAGCCAAAGAATCAACACCGATAACTGTAAGACCTCTGAATTGTCATATTTGGTACGCTTCTTGAATGATGCATTTGAGAAATGGGTTCTTGGAAATGACGCAGCTAAGAGCCGACGTTGTCATCGCCACCGTTGCCTCAACTTGTCACTTCTTTCTGCATACCCTGTACAATCCATCTCATACAGCCGCCAAACATCTTTCTAACGAATGGGTGATACAGAAGCAACGAGAATAACGTCAGCGGATGGATCAAAAAAAGAAGTTTCATGCACCAAGGTAATCTTCGATTATAACAGTTTCTCGGGTAGATTGAGTGCCGCACCCAACAACTCGCGGGCCCACGGCACGCATCTTCAGCTGTACCTAAAGTGTTCAGATCGTTCGATTTCTTCCAGGATCAACGATCAAATCTCTCGATCAGACGATGAGTGATTGCCCCCAATGCAACATACCTGTTCAAGCCTTTCACATGCTATCCATCTCTCTCACTCGCTACCATCAGCTTCTGCAGGGTTTAGACACAGGCATAGACACCTAAAGCTGGGTTGACTAGTAATGGGCATTATAAGCCGCAATTATGCGCATCTCACATGGCTAGAGCTGGAAGCATGAGGCTTTACAGGTGAAATCTGAGACATGCGCCATGCCGGGTCGACAGTCAACCAGGCTAAAAGCGGGTCAAAGTTCTCAGGTTCAGACCCGAATGGTCGCAGTGAATAGCAAAGAAAGATCTGAGATAACACCGCGGTCTAGATCGTACGAGAACAATATCACAAGGGAAGACGGCTATAGCAGCTGAAGATGAGAAGCGGCTTTTGAACAGGACCCCCACGTCAATTGCCGATGGTAAATGTCAATTGCCAGGAAGTTCGTCAGGAGCTTGATCATAGCGGCGTTTTTACGGTTTTCAGGGCGTCTTCAGCGCAGTCGCACTAATTCCGCTCAAGTGACGGGGCATGACATGGCAGTCATTCAACGTCGCCTCTGTCTGTCGGAACCATTGTCAATGCTGCAATACAAGATCCAATTCTCAATAATTCCGCGATCTATACCCAATTGCCGAACCAGATCAGATGCAAACAACCCAGATCTTCCCCCACACAAAACCTCCTTGCCATGCACATTCACTCAGGTTGACAGTCAACCACACCGCGGTACACTTCCGGCCACATTCCCCATATCTTCTCCGCATCTTCAACCCCCACGTGCCAATAATGACGTTGATCCTCAGAGCCAAAACCGCCATCCGCTAAGCTGATCTTGGCCTCGGCAATACGAACCGCCAATAATTGCACGAACAAGCAAGGTTTCGACCATGACTCGCCATTCCATGGAAAACAACGGCCTTGGAGAGTAACGATCGACCATGTGAAATTTCACCGCTCGTCACTGAGGATCTAACCCCGCTGCCTGTCCACAAATCCCCAGATTCTCGCTCTTCCCCAGACTCGCGTGGGGGGAGCCAAGTCCAAGACCAGCCTTTAAACTTTATGTCATACACTAACGGTCTTCCTGTCGACCGGTGAATAGCTAAAGGATAAGAAGGCCATTGTTTCTTCTCAATTTGAGATCTGCGTTCCCTCATCCATACATCACTCCCTCATTACAATTAGCGGAGTTCAACACAATGTCTACTTTCAAGGGTGACGATGCTCCCTCTCAACAACACGCCGAAGACGTTGAGTCTCAGATCGCCAAACCGGATCTTCATCCTCAAAATGGCGACGCTGTCGCTCAGATGATTGGTGCTCAGCACATTGAAGTTACCGAAGAAGACGTGCGTTTATTAATACCAATTCTCAATCTTGGTCTAACACTTCTCAGAACAAACGTCTCCGCCGAAAAACCGACAAACATGTCCTCTCCATCCTCGTCTGGGTCTACTTCCTCCAAATCCTCGATAAGTCCGTCCTCGGCTACGGCGCAGTATGGGGCATGCGCGAAGACACAAACCTCAGCGGGAACGAATACTCCATGGTCTCCTCCATGGCGCCCATCGCACAACTCGTCTGGCTCCCTTTCTCTTCATGGCTGATGGTCAAGATTCCTCATCGAATTTTTATGGCTAGTCTTGTGTTTGGTTGGGGTGCTGCGCAGACGTGCATGGCGGCTTGTACTACCTACCAGGGCCTTCTTGCGACGCGTTTCTTGCTGGGCTTGTTTGAGGCTGCGTGCTTGCCGCTGTTTTCGGTCATTACGTCGCAGTGGTATAGACGTGCTGAGCAGCCGATGCGGGTTGCTTGTTGGTATGGAACTAATGGTCTTGCGAATATGTTTGCTGCTGCGCTATCCTTTGGCTTGGGCCAGATTAACGGCTCGCTTGCATCGTGGCGCATCCTCTTCCTCTTTGCGGGTCTCATCACCGTTATCACAGCACCAGTTGTTTACTGGGCTCTCGACAACGACATTCCATCTGCGCGCTTCTTAACCGAGCACGAGAAGCTTCAGACTATCGAACGACTTCGCGCCAATCAGACTGGTACTGGAAGTCGCAACTTCATCTGGAAGCAAGCTTTCGAGGCCCTCATTGAACCTAAGACATGGCTCTTCATCAGCATGGCTTTGTGTCTCAATGTCACTGCCGCTGTCACCAACACTTTTGGTCCTATCATTGTTGGCGGCTTCGGCTTCGACAAGGGCGTTACATCGCTTCTCAACATTCCCTTCGGCGCTGTACAACTCCTCGTCATCTTCCCCGCTTCATACCTCGCACATCGATACCGCGTCAAGTCCGTCTTCCTCATCGCCGTCATGCTTCCCGTCCTCGCAGGAGCAGTCATGCTTCACCAACTCAACCGCGATCACGTTGCTCCTCTCCTAGCAGCATACTACATGCTCGCTTTCCTCTTCGGCGGCAATCCCCTTATCGTATCGTGGATGATCTCCAACATTGCTGGTACCACCAAGAAGTCGGTCATCATGTCGCTGTACAACATTGGTGTTTCAGCAGGTAACATCATCGGACCTTTGCTCTTCAGCTCCAAGGATGCGCCGTACTACAAGCCTGGTCTTACGAAGACCATGGGTATTACTGGTGCTTTGATTGGTGTTATTCTTTTGCAGTTGGCCAATCTCATGTTCTTGAATAAGATGCAGGAGAGGAAGAGAGTCAAGAATGGTAAGCCTGCTAAGATTAGGGATTTGAGTATGGAGCATCACTATGTGGCGAATGCTCAGGATAACGATGAGGATGGTTTGGGACAGAATGCCTTCATGGATCTCACTGATTCCAAGAACGACGAGTTTGTCTATGTCTACTGAGTGTTGTCGCAAGATATTTAATCAGATAGGAGTCATTAAGATAGCGCTTTGGTTCTTAATTTATTTGTTGATCAATTCATTTTTCACTCTATGAACCCAAAGTAATCAGCTGGTCAAATACGCTTGATGTCGAGGTTCACCGGCAGCGCATCTTATTGTATGCGACATCTTAATTCCGTTTGCCATTACTTCTCCGCTCAGTGTTTATGCGACCAGGACCAGGCCGAAACAAACGTCTACATTACAATACTTTTTCACCTTTTAGTTGCCAAATAGGTAGTCGGCTGAAATGCATGTCGCTTCAGTTGCTACGTGCGAGTCGCTTTGGCCTCATCATACCGTTCCTGGAGGCTGGCCGTGAGCAGCAATATAATCACGGCTGAGCACTGTCAAGTCTATCTCGGCATTATAAGCCTCACCGATAGCTAGATATGCAACCAGGCATATAAACACTAGAGAAGAACAAAAACGTATTAAAGACAATAGATGTACCAAGGGTAATGTGGTTAATAAGCGAGCGCTCTAGATAAGCAAGCGCTCTACTTTCCTTAACCTTTTTAAGCTATAGCTTAAAAGCTTAGGCTGCAGTTTAAAAAAGCTAGCTTTTACCTACTAAATTCCTCCCTAGATAACTTAAGAACTACCTAATAAGTCCTAGTATTATAACTGCCTTTACTATATATACTATAGTGCTAACTACCTGGTTACTTTAACCTTCCTTAATTACTACTTTTTAATAATTTAGCTACTATCTATATATTAATATCTATCTAATTAATTACTTATAATACTTCTTATATAATTATAATCCCTCCTTTTTATAATCTAGTCCTTTTTACCCTTTAGTACTAACTTAGTATCTTATTTATATCTTAAAGATTATAAAGCTTAGTGTAACGGTTGCACAAGCCGTTAAACCACAGGGCAAAAGATCGGGCCATAATCGCTATGTAAGCAATCATGGGTGTGCTACAGCTACCTTATAGAAGCCTTACAGCGCTGTTACGGGCACGAATCGTAACACTTAGCTCTTAATAAGATAATCTTATATATAATTACCTTTATTACCTTAGTAGCTAACTTTAAAGCTTTAATAATAGACTCTAGGGAGCTATTATAATGCCTTTTAATTTACCTTTTAAGGTATTTAGACTAAGATTAGGCCTTAATTATTATCTTTAGGGTCTTTAAAGCCTATAATATTAATAGTTAAATAGCCTCCTTAGGAGGGGTTAGGGTCTATAGCTATATATTAAGCTTTAAGATTATAGTTTCTAGGTTAAGAGGAGCAAGCCTAGCTTCTTTAAAACCCCCTTAGATATTACTTTCTATAAAGGTAACTCTAAATATAATATAAAAGGTAGAAAAGAACTTAGTCTTAGAAATATAAGTTATAAAGTATCTAATTAGATGCTTTATTTCTTAATTATAAGCCTATTTTAGCAGCCTAAAGCACCTAATATTAAAAGGCTAAAGTAAATAAGATATATAAGTAGGCATATAAAGCATAATAATCTTATTCTCCTTATAATATCTCTTAAAATCAGCTAAGTAATAGCTTTTATAATTATTAAGGATTAGGAAATAATAATAACTAGTTAATTAGTTCTTTATAAACTAATTAAAGTGCTTTAACTACTTAAGACCTAGCTTATTATTTATCTATTTATTTTAGCTTATTATAATAACCTAATTACCTAGGAGGTTATATTCTTAGTATTAATTTATAAGGTAATATTAGCTTATATTAATAATAAATAATATAATTAATTAACCTTTTATATTAATCGCCTAGATTATAGTAATCTATTCTTGGTTTTTAGGCTATACTAATTTTAGCCTTTTTTATATTTCTAAACCTATAATAGCTATTCTGGCTATAATAAGGCCTATTATAAAGCTAGTCTTATTAAAGTTCTAGATATTATTTAATTAGATATTATACTTTATAATTATATTTTATATAAGCCTAAACTAATTATAAATAATAATTAGATCTTTATATTTAGCTTTTTAATAATTATATCTGTCACGGGTCAGGCTCGGGAATACAGGTGAACGGGGAACGCTTCGGGCGGGATAGATTCTATTGCTACGGATA